AATGTATTTGGAATTACTGGAAGACGCCATAGATCCTGCACTAACAGCCATAACTGAAAATCAGAATGATCGGCGGTACATTGCGAATATATTGTTACGGAAAAATAGTGCAGCGTATCCTGGGACGGCACTGGGAGAAGATTAGACGCTGAATCATAGGTACACACAGAAGTGGTACCGGACAAAAACATGTAGATATATGGGGCAGAAAAAAATCGAGCGTTGTTGTGCAGCGGATCGTTTTCATTTTTACATTCGTAATAAAATAGAAGAGAATAAATTGAACGTTGTTACGGAGCGGGTCGTTTCCTTTAAAAACTCCTGAACATCGTCGAATTTGGGAGGCTTAATAATATATATAGATCAGACGTTTCCAGATCGATGGATTGGTAGAAGAGATGCCATCGAATGGCCCTCAAGATCGCCAGATTTATCGCCTTTGGATTTCTTTATGTGGGGTCATTTAAAAAGCAAAATCTGTGCTACTCAGCCAACATCATTAGAAGACCTGCGGCAAAGACTTGTGAACTAGTGTCTTCAAATTACTCCTCAAATATTGCAAAATGTGCGGCAACGTTTTGAGCAAAATCTTTATTATTGCATGAAGAGTCATGGTGGCCATTTTCAACATTTACTTGCCTGACGGGTCAGTTCATTCTTCATTTTTAAATTTCTTTGCTGCCAAATATATTGATCTCCACTAATGATGATGTATTAGTTTTATTTAAGCTTTAAATCAATAAATCTTAAAAACCACTGAACTGAAGTACATGAATTTTATATCATTATAAAGGGAATTGAAAGACCTTTAAAATAAGGTATCACTCGACCCCCCTTTGCATTTAAGATTTTGGGGGTGGTGTCACCCTCGCTTAGGGGGCTGCACGTGTTAACGTGATTTTTTGCCAAACTTGTGCCCCCTCGAAAACAAAATCGACGGGTCTGAGCGTTTTTCAAAAAAAAAAACTGAGCTGCCAGTAAATGCGTCTGTTTCGTTTTCGATGCGCCACCCTGTATAATATTTTTATAAAATATTTATTCAATACCTTTTAAATATTTTACATACATTATTTTTTATAATATATATAATATATGCATTATATATAATACAAATATCTATAATGAATATTTTATAAATATATAAAAAATATATTTATTAAATATTCAAAAATCTGTCGCTACAAATTCACATATTGAACAAACATTTTTTAAAAACATTTTTTTTTTGTTGTTATTGGCACTGGTAGATGACCAACTGGCTAGTATAATGCTATGCTTTAATAGAAAATAGAACATCCATTACTTAATATTACTATTGTATATTATTTTTATTATACTTACATAGAGTATGCAAACACATTTCTCTTTTTTTTTGTTTTTTTTTGTTTTTTTTTTACCAATACTTTTTACTTATTTTTTCCTTTTCTCTATTTTGTTTATAAGATTGTTTTTTTTTTACTGATCTGCAATTTTTGACTTTTTTTCAATATTTTCTTCTTTTTTTCATTTTTTCAAACAAACTTACTGTAATTTACATTTTATAATGTTAGGCCTACTTTCCGACAATGCTTGTATAAAAAATCGTAAACTTGCTGGTTCTCAGAACTGAGAATTGATTCTAAATTTAGAGGCAAAGGAAGGTGATTCGCTAAAATTTTATACAATTCAGAATTTTCGTTGTTAGAACTTGTACATTCTAATATTAAGTGTTGCAAGGTTCCTATATTTCCACAACTGCAAAGTGGATCATCTCCGTATCCAATTCTTGATTTATGATGGGGCGTTAGGACATGACCACTTCTTATTCTGCTCACGGTTCTAATGTAAGGACGATTGGTAATTTCTTGAAACCAAGGTCTGCTTCGAAGAGTCTCTTGTATACGTTTCAGGTAACTTCCTGTTGGACTGATTTTGTAATGGTTATTCCATTTATTCTTTAGTCGTTGTCTGATCAGAAAATGAGCGTCAGTAAAAGGAATCTCCAAGCCCGGAACGTAATCGCCTCTAGTTGTAGCTCTTTTTGCAAAATTATCTACCATCTCGTTTTCTTTTATACCTGAGTGGCCTTTGATCCAGACTATGTTTATAGTTTTGTCGATTCTATTCAGCTCCTGAATGCGCTTGATGATGTTCGCAATTAGATGATTAAGATCTGCAGTGGGGTGACAATTCTCCAATTTTGTTACAGCACTTCTACAGTCGGTAAAAATAACAAAATTCTTATTTCCATGTATTCAATAGCTTGGTTGATCGCAACCAGTTCTGCTGTGTATACCGTACATTCAGGTGGCAACTTAAATTCTTGGTGATACGAATTGTTGCTGTGATAAAATGAACATCCCGCTAAATTGTCTTTCTTCGAACCATCCGTGAAGATATATTCCCATCCACTCCATCGTGTTCGAATATCATGCCGGAATTTGTAAGGTGTTGATAAATCTAGTTCGGAATATTTCGTAAAGATAACTTCGGGTGGAGAGTTATATGCCTAATATTCAGGTATGAAACATGGGTTGATTTGATTAGAGTGTACCTTCTTGACGCTAGGAAGAAGCCACTCATAACTCTCTATGATCAGAGGAATCCTTTTGTGTTGCCAGTATTTCGCTGTTAATCCATGAATAAACAATTGGTGGATCTCGTTAATGAATCCCCTGCTGACCAGTTTAACCAGTGCTTTATCGCTCAACATTTGTCGTCTCAATTGAAGAGGAGGTTCGATACATTCGACCTCCATGACATTGATGGGAGTGCTATTCAAATATCCGATACATAGCCTAAGACACTTATTTTTGATATGTTCTATTTTTTGAAGATGAATTCTAGATGCATTTCCATAAAGTATTGATCCGTAGTCCAAGATTGATCGAACTAAGGTCCTGTAAAAGGTTAAGCACACTGCTGGATCTGCTCCCCATTTCCGATGTGAAAAGCACTTCAGAATGTTAAAAGCATTCTGACTTCTGTTTAAAATGTATGTAATATGTTCTTTCCAGTTAAGTTTTTTATCTAGGATAACTCCTAAATATTTGACAAATTAAAAGCTCTTTCAAAGTCATAGAAATATATTATATACAAGATGGGACTCAATACAATACTCAATACTCCCTTGTGCTAGTCCTTTATATGTTGATCGTGGTCCAATAGTCTGCTCAGAGGCTCTGATGAAAATGTTTCTATTGCTATACAGTAATAACAAATGGTTGGCAAGTTCTTTTGGAAGACCAATATTTATAATTTTACTGTATAGTATATTCAAGTCTACATTATCATAAGCTCCCATAACGTCTAAAAATATTACAGAAGTATGCGTGTTATTCGGAAATCCAATTTGGATATCAGTTGTTAACTTTATCAGTAAGTCTTGAGTAGACCGTCCTTTTCGAAATCCATATTGCGAGCTTGGGAGCAATTGGTTTTTCTCCAAGTAGGATTCCAACCTATTCTTGATGAGTCTTTCGTAAGTTTTCAAAACGCATGAAGCTAGTGCAATGGGACGATATGAATCTTGATGATGTTCTGGTTTTCCAGGTTTCAGAATTCTAATAATTATATAATCGTACCAATCTTTCAGTATTTCAGCATTCCCACAATATATTTGATTGAAAATATCCAATAACGATTGTTTCGTTATTGTAGGTAGTTGGTATAACATCGAATAATGAATTTGGTCCTTTCCCGGAGATGTATTGTTGTTCTGTTTGAAGAGTAATTCTATCATGGTAAAAGGTTGCATCAGTTCATGGTTAGTCCACGTTGAGATTCTTCTTTGGATGTTGTTACTTACATAATTTGGGGCCAACTTACAATGAAATTCCTGTACCCACTCTGCTGAAGCTTCTATAACATGATAATTACTCTGTCGCCTAGTTTTATACAAGTTAACTTGCTTCCAAATTTGTTTAAGTGGGGTGTTACTATTTAAAGATGAACAATATTGACGCCAACTTTCTCTTTTAACCTTTTTGAATATTTGTTTGGCCTTCGCGTCAAGTTTTTGAAAATTAAGTAAGTTTTCGAGGTTTAGGTTTGTCTGATATAGTCTAAAACTATCCTTACGTTTTTCTACTGCTATATTACATTCATTGGTCCACCATGGTTTTCCTTTGACATTATTTTTGTTTTCATATTTCGGAATAGAAGCTTCAGCTGACTGGTTAACATTTTTGATGAAAGTGCTGTAATCTATAACAGGTTCTACATAAGATCTATTTATATTCTCGAAACAGAACTGATTCCAGCAAGCTTTGTTTATGTTCCATTTTCTATTTGATGCAAATAACAATTTTTCTGGAGTAGAATTACAATTGATAAGTATAGGCAAATGATCTGAACCACATGGGTCTGGCAAGTTTCGCCATTCTAGCTGATGATGAATTTGAGGTGAACATAATGTAAGATCTATTGCTGATTTTGATTGATATTTTACATAAGTTGGATCTCCATTGTTAATAAAACTGAGATTACTGTCATCTGGAGCTTCAATCAGGATTTTCCCAATTAGGTCATCCTGAGCACAACGCCATGAAGTGTGATGTGCATTAAAATCACCTCCTATAATACATGGACTGTGTAAGGAACTAAAAAATTGTATCCATTCCTGAGATTCCTTGAAACTTTACTGTAGAACATACTTTCATTATTTTATTACAAGCAACTAATGATATTTGAGAATATTTAAAACTATTTCTCATCAGTATAGCCACTCCTCCTTTGCCATCTGACCGGTCTTGACGGATAACGTTATAACCTTCAAATTTTACATATGTATTCATTTTAAACCAGGTTTCAGACAAAAGTGCGATGTCCACATTTTGTTCTTCTAAAAGGTGTTCCAAATTACCTTTATTTGCTATAGCCGATCTACAATTCCATTGACATATCCTCAAAAAATTCATTGTGGTTTCTAAATGCATTGTATAGATTCTATTTACGTACGAACACCTTGGCAAAAGCTTAAAATGATTAAAAATATACTGTAATTTTCTTAATTCTTAAACTTATTTGTCTATATTTAATCTTTCTCTTATGAGATTAGTTATAGTTGATTTATTCAAGCTGTTGATGTTTGTTTCTCTAAAATTTGTAAGAACAAATATAACCAATTCTGAAACATGTTGGATGAACGTCTCATCTCTCGTATTAAATTCATGTACACAGTAACTGGGGTTATTAGTGATACCCCCGGGTACCTGTGGAGTGTTTATTTGACTCACAATTTGTCTCCTAGCTTCTTCTGTCAAATCTGGCGAGGAAGGCGAGTTCCGTTTCAAAGGTTTAGACAACCTTTGTGTAAAGTGCGAATTCGCATTTGGTATATTTATTGATGTTCGAGTGATTGATGATTGAGATGGAAGATTAGAACTATTGATTTCTTGAGGCGTAATGGGATTATTTTTTGTAACTGAAGCATATGTGGTTTTTGGCACCACATTGTTTGAGTCTCTAAAAGAAGAATTAGTCATTGCCATATGCTTTTTAATTGCCTTTTGCCTCTCAAATTCATTACATTTTGAGGTTTCAAATGAGTAGTGACTGCCATCGGAAATTAAACATTTTTGTTCCAGAGTCGTTGTGGCATGAGCGACTAGCATGTTCTTCGTGACATTTTGCACACCTAGGCTTGCTTCTACATTGCTTACCCAAATGACCATAACGCATATAGTTATGACACAGAATTACCTTCTGTATATAATGATTTACATCAAAAAGAACGTGATTTATAGCAACACGCTTAGGCAATTCTTGCGCTTGAAAAGTAACTACAACCTTATTTATAGGTAGATATTTAATGTCACCATTTTGATCTGATTTCCGGTGCATGCGTTTAACCGAATCCACCGAGAAAATACAGTGAGAATCGAAAGGTTTGATCCTCTCCAACAAGTATTCGTCTGATAAGTCTTTGTCCACCGAAATAACACCCTGTCTATATAAAATGAATTTGGGTATATAAACGTCTAAATTGATAGTTTTGAATAAAATTGTTTTATTTAACAGGACATTTGCTGCTGATGGATTTTTGAACACAATCCTTACCCTATTGCTTCCAATCGATTCAATTCTTTTAATCATATTGTCAACTTCAGGAATATTTTTGAGAATAGTTTCACCAACCTTAACTGGATTTAATTTACCTGAGAAATTTGGTTCATTGTTTTCGATATAAACATGATAGGGGCCCTTATCAGTCTGCTTATATGTTAAAAGCGGTCTATCTGCTTTTTTGGGAGATAATGTTGGAAGTTCTACCTGCATTACTCCTGATTGTAGATCATGTCAATTGTATTATCATTACCGACCTGGGAATTATCTTCAATAGTTGCATCCATTGAATCCTTCGATTCCTTCCTTTTCTTTCCAGGAGGCAAGCCCCCTTGGGAGACACTCATATATGTTGCGGGGCTCCTGCTCAGACTTGATATACCTAAAACTACTTCCAGTACAGCTAAGTTTCGGCACTAATTAAATATTCAAGCTCGGAATCGACCAAAAATGTTAAAAACATTTAAGAAATATTTAATGCTATCGGGGAAGTTTTACCGTTTTTTGTTTGTTTTTCGACGATAACTTCGCCGCCAATATACCGCCAAAAACTGGAGATCTTTTTCGTCATTTTTAAAGTAGTAACCTAGGGTCTCAATTTCATCAAAATCCTGATAGTAGATTCAGAGTTATCATTATAGAAAGACTAAACTTTAGTCTTTCTCATTAGTTATGAAATACAAGTCAATATATTTCTTAATTAGCCTTGCATTGCAACAGGACATTATAATGAAACAACTGTAAGCACTTGATAATTTGTAATTTACTAAAATACATACACTTAGGCCAGCCATAACTCACCTGCGAAACATACAAAATATTAGCAATATGAAAAAAGTGTTGTTATGGCAGCCTATGCTTCGTATGTATACTAATTTCATTCATTCTCATCAAAAGTTAGTTACGAAACATACATTATTATGAATAGGTAGGTATTCAAATCAAAATACTTCACACAAGAGCCCGCGTCAGCGCTCTCCCACACGATGTGGTGAATAGCCATGTGTCCAACGTCACAGATTATACAGATGCAACACCTGCTGTCGGTCCCTATGATCTTCGTGTCCCCAACTGCTTACTACATTTCCCGCTTATGTTCATTAGCGTCCGGAGGTTTTTTCCCCAGGGGTTATTACGCGTTATTAGCCTGACGTCAGGAATGTCACATATTATCAAGCTACAGAATGAAGAAATTTGTGTTTATTATTTCCCCAAATGCATTTAGGCCAAATAATAGATTTGTATTGATAAAACTGTTTTGTGGTCACGTGTCAAAACATTCCACGGATAACCCCTAAATGTCACAGCAACAGGAATCGCACCAAACGCATAGAACTCAAGTTGGAGTTGATAGAACCTGATTTTTGACCGAGTGTCGCCTCTGTGCCAACGTTGTCAGGCATTCGCCAAATCTTGTGGGAGCGGTAGTGTTACATACAGGGTTTGTCCGGAAAGTAATAGGACTGAGTCGATTTAAAAAAATTTATTGAGCCAATCGTTACAATTCTTTAAAAAATTTCAAAATAGACTCCTTCTGCGTCGATGCAGCGCTGCCAGCGCGATTGCCAAGCATTGAAAGCGTCACGGAATAGTCTTGAGAGCCGCGGTGCATGCTGCTTGGATCCCCTCTGTCGTCTCAAAATGCTTGCCTTTCATCGGCCTTTTCAGGCGAGGAAACAAAAAAAAGTCCGGGGGCCACACCTGGGCTGTAGGGCGGCTGCGGAAGCCTTGGGATTGCGGCCTTGGTCAGGTAGCTGTTCACAAGAAAGGCAGTGTGAGCCGGGGCGTTGTCGTGGTGCAACTTCCAGTCGGCTGCGATGTCTTGTCGGACCCGACTGACCCTTCGTTTGAGTCTCCTGCGCTCTTTCACGTAAAACTTGGCGTTGACGGTTTGTCCAGGAGGAACAAATTCATGGTGGACGATGCCTTTGATGTCAACAAAGACAATGAGCATCGTTTTCACTTTGGATTTGCTCATTCTTCCCTTTTTTGGGCGAGGATACGCCATCGTGTGCCACTCGGAAGATTGCCTCTTTGTCTCGGGATCATACTCAAAGATCCACGACTCGTCACCTGTGATTAGATTATTCAAAAATTGGGGGTCACTTTCACACATGTTCAAATTTTCTTGGCACACTTCCACTCGCCGCAATTTCTGGTCGTCAGTGAGCACTTTTGGAACCATCTTCGCGCACACCTTGCGCATGTTCAAATGCTGTGTCACAATGTCATGAACCGCAGATTTTGGTAAATTTAACATCTGGGCAATCAAATGAATACTTAGTCGACGGTCTGAGTTCAAAACTTTACGCACACGAGTCACATTGTCGGTGTTTTTCGAAGTCGAAGGTCTTCCAGCACGGTCTTCATCAGCGACCTCTTCCCGGCCCTCCAAAAAGACCTGGTGCCACCGAAACACACCACTTCTTGCTAAAGCAACACCTGGGTAAGCCTGCTTGATCATATCAGATTTACCGAGTTTCACACAGAATTTAATCGCGTACCTCTACTCTATCTACTTCTATCACTTGTCATTCTCATTAATCCTCTTGTGCTTATTTGGTTATTAAAAACTGCTTAAAACTGGCAAAATATAATATATTTTTCATGGTAAATCGGTAAATGCTACATCGTATCCCTAGGATCTCTTAAACTACAAACACTGGCGGATTTGGAGGGGGCGCGGGGGACGCGCGCCCCCTCCTGGATGTCTGATATTTGCTTTTGTAATCCTACACCATTGTGTTTCTGTCACATCATGGTGACAGAGGCATACTTACTATAAATTATAGCTATAGGAACTGAGTATTGATTTTTTTGGCATCCTTTGGTATTCCAAATGCTGTCCCTCTTTGACATCACTTGTTTACAGCACAACTCTTACAATTTATACGTATATACGAGTATTGTGACTTGTGACAAATCTAAGCCTGGGTAATATATTAGCCATACAGATTGCACTTAAAAAGCGATTCATGTTCTGTTTGTTGCTCAATAGTAATTTGAAAAGTGTGTAAAGCTTGACTGATTCTGTTTGGGGTTGGTGTTGCAGCGAAGCACTATGTTTGATGAATACCTGAATTGGAACTAGACATTTATGAAATTTGTTTAGCGGTGCGCCTGTGGCCTGTCTAGAAACTGCGTCGATCGATGCTCAAAATCAATACCACACGTCCCGCATCTCTTCTCGCGTATGTGTCTATTCATGTTGCTATATTGAATTCGTTTAAATCACAGAGCTGCTGTACTATACGTGTATTCCTGTACTTGTTTAGTACAAACACACATTATCAGAATAATTAAGATCTAACAGATACAGTTTTTTCCAAGGATTTTCAACATTTCTATATGCGATCAACACCGGTTCGAAAACTGAGAAAACAACTACTATGCCGTAAATCTAAGTCTGACAACGAAAGTCTGAAAAATAACTGTAACATCTATATTGAATTTCAAAAACCCCAACCACTACTGAGCGGGGCCGTGGCAAATGCTTGTATCCAGCATACAACTTCTTCCCGTACAAGTGATTGTACACGAGTTAAGGAATACCTTAGTACCGATTGCGGTACAAGTCCGCCAACGGTCTATTCAATATTAGCACGCAAAAAGAAGGTGGTAGACAAGGACCAGTCGACCGAGGCGGTACCACCCTATAGTTTTTCCCAACGTGTCTTATAAATGCCCGCATGTTTCCACACCTAAGCTATGCAGTCGGTTATCTTACAAAACAAAGAAATTGATGATGATGGATCCTACGAGTACTAAGAATTCCGGATATAAGCTCACTCCACTCTCAGAATGTCCGGGTGGAGGGTGGACTCGAGGGAACAACATCGAAGATAAAATTTGTTTCACGAACATCTGCGGGACTAACAGCAATATTGATGCTGTTCATCACTACTTGCAATCCAATCGTCCCGCCATCCTTTTCTTGGCGGAGACAAAAATCTCAGAGTCCGCACCGATTAACCATCTTAACTTACCAAATTACGAGGTGCACTCCAATCTGAGAAAGAACGCGGGAGTTGTGGCCTTTGTCCGCAGCAGTCTTTCCTGCTGCAGAGATGTTTCTCTGGAATCAGACCGGAAGGACATTTTGTGGCTTCGCCTCAACTCCAAAACATCCCCCAAATTTATTTGCTGCCTTGATCGCTTCCCTCGGACCATAACTGGGATGACATTCTTGAATACCTCGCCGTCAAGATCGACTTCCTGAACATCAATCACTCCGCTTCAGAGGTAGTTCTCCTCGGTGATTTCAATGACCATAATTTGCTTTGGTTGGGCTCAAACAAGACCGACGCCGCAGGTCGTGCAGTTAAAGCGTCCGCTCTTATGCAAGGGCTGACCCAGATGGTGACAGGTCCTACTTTTTTTGCCCTGCGTCTTGTCACACGATCCTACTGGATCTCTTTCTGACCACGCATCCTGTCCCTTACAGCTCTACTGTCCTGTCTCCCCTGGGTAACTCAGACCACTGTGTTGTGGAGGTTAGGTTTCGGTTAGAACCCGGTGTTTCAGCAGAAACTCGCACAGGCCGCAAAATTTGGCATTACGGAATGCCGACTGGGAGGGACTCGGAGACTTCTTCTCTACATTTCCTTAGCGAAATGTCTGTTTCACTGACGCGGATGCGTCGGCTGTCTGTTCTTCGATAACCGAAATTATCCACGTCGGAATGGACATTAGTTGTTTAATGGGTAGTTCAGTCTTAATCCTTAAGCTTATTACATACTAGTAGACCCCGTTGAGCAATTTGTCTATAGGCAGTCTGGAGACGGTTTCAAGACTCGATCTATAGATGGTCTACAGACATCCTTCTTTGTCTTGTCTAGCGTCCACACGATAATGTGAATTTTTTGATCTCATGTTCATTTTCGCAATCAAATACATTGTTTTGTGTGGAATGGACTGGGATGTCTCGGGGTCTCTCAGAATGTTTTATTTATTTTTTGTCGGTTAACAGAGCAATGACGTTTTTTATATTTGAATCTTTAATATTATTACACTAGTTAATTATAAATGCCACGTACTTATTTTGTTCTCATATAATAAAATATTGGCTTTCTGAGCAACTTCCATGTTTTTTTTTTCAAGCTGGCCTTGACCAGATAGAATACAATGGATTTAAGGAGCAATAATAGGATAAATTCTAGACGTTCTACTGAGGTTAAAAATTGTCCTGCCCCAAATATCGTTGCCCCCCCCCTAGACGAAATCCTGAATCCGCCCTTGACTACAATGGTCGCAGAAAACGTGGTTAGAAAATAGTCGGCTGTCATCAAGTGTCATTACATGACTGTAATAATTTAGACGTTGTAAAAATAACCTTTCACGTTTCACAGTATTCCGGTGTAAAATTTCATCTGTCAATCTACATTCCATTCTTTCCATTACTTGACTTGACTTGACTTCAGCTCATCAGGGTAGGGCGGGGGCCTTTTGCCCAAAAAATTACTGAGGTTCTAACTGGCAGAAAAGCGAATCTCTTTAACAAAAAATGCCAAAGATAGATTACACAGTTATGAAAATTATATGAAAAAAGTAGTCAATGTAAAGAAATAAAGAATAAATCATAGTTTTAGAAGTTCAGATTGTTAAAGAAATGCTAATCTAGGTCTTTTGTGTTTGTGAATGGATGCAGGATCGTATGTCACCGCATCTCTTATTAAAGAATTTGAATGTGAAGTTGCAAGTTCGTAACTTTTGCTTGCAATTTGTTTAATGAATTGAGACAAGAAAGGTCATGATGAATGGTCGCGTTAGATACATACCAAGGAGCATGCAGTATTGTTCGTAGAATCTTGTTTTGTATCACTTGCAATTTTGTAATGTGGGTCTTGGCAGCAAATCACCAAGCTGCACATGCGTCGGTTATAGTTGGACGTATAATCGATTTTTATAATACTAGTTTATTAGTTAAGGTCAGTTTTTTAGTACCATTTGTAGTACCCTTGAGCATGGGGTTCTTTTGGGTTCTTTCCATTACTGTGTACCGTATATTATATTATTTACTTTGCCAAGTGATTTACAAACGCACCTGCAGAAGCAGCGAGAACGCTGACAATTCTTTTGAGTATCTGCGCCATCTAGGATGAGGTGTATCAACTGCAGAATGCACAAATCACAACCTATAGGTAACGTTATCAAATGAAACCGTCAGATCACAATGTTCGGCGCAATCATCAGATGTCACTCAAATTTATTGACATGTCCCCTGTGATTTCGCCGGCCAAACAGTTATGTTATATATGTTTTGTGCTAACAACTAACAATAAGCAATGTGGTGAAATTTTACGTAACTTTCATAAATTTCGGCTAGTGTTCGTAAATACTGTTTACTTCGAGTGTGGGCGCATCCAAAACGCATGCCTGCATTTGTAGCAAAAAAGACCGTCGTGAACGAATAAACGTGCAAGCGACTTGTAAATGTAAACATTATCTGTGCGTCCCTGTGACGGAAAATGTTTCATGAACAGCTGATTTCTGAGGAAAGGGGCATCTGCTAAGATCGTACCAAATGAACGGCTTTAGCACGGGAGAAGAAGACTCTAGGGGACCCACCGACCAAATCTGTTGTCTCATAGAGAACGGGGAAAGGTGTGCAAAGCCCGCAGGGAACGCGTCCTATAGCAAAAGGGTTCAGAAGACCGTCACACAAAGGCGGCTCAACTTGAATATTGACAACTCTGTAAGCTGAAGTTCTGTACATTTTTTTTTATCATAGAATGTATAACAAGGTTGCTCATTGGTATTCAGGGCTCTCTTAAGTTATGTAATGACCCCTGGAGATGGGAAGCTGAAGGGGCCCCAAGCCAGAACAAAATCTGGAACTTTACTTTGATGATGGGGAAATTGAAGAGCAGGAGGGGTACCAAGATTTTTTAACTGTCATTTGATCTTTGGGCAATTGGGTTCCATAGGGTAAAGATGAAATAGTTGGTATGGAATAAAAAATAAACTTAAATCTTATAGTTTAACAGTAAGAATCAGAAATTTTAAAATGTTATAGTTTATGTTGATTCTAATCCATTAGGGTTTCAGCATCTCTCAAATGCAAATTGAGGCATCCATGGGATGTAAGGTGCCCCATTTTCAGGTGCATGCTTGAGTGCTTGTCCTTATGTACATGGCCCATGAGCAGAAAAAATGGAATACCTGAATACCATGAGGCTTTTCTTCTAAATTAGGCAGCTGCCTACAAAGCTATTTTGTATTAATGCTATCCCATTTATAGTTTATATTAGCAAAATACTCTCATCCAAGAATAATTTAGAGTAAAGTAAGCTCTTTAAAACCAACACCATCAAAAAGTCAAAACAAAAATTTGTTGTTAAAACAAAACCACTCATGCTACAAGAAGCTTCCACATGCAATCATGTTTTGTGGCTAATAATTTGTGTCATCCACATGGTAGATGTTTACATAATTTGTTCTTGGCAGCTGAAATGAAAGCGAATTGGCTGGATGCTCTCTACAATGCACATTATGTGATGCATTAACTCCTCTTATCACAGGAGTTGTGTTGCTGTGTAGTATTGTTGTTACTGTGGCTCTATTTTAGTCACCAATTCGAGAATAAGTGAGTTTGAAGGCAAAAGACCATCTTTTTACTCTGATCTCCAGGATGTTAAATGGATCTTGGTGGGACAATAGCCCTTTTTTCTTGCCTGATGCAAAAAGTGCCCATATGTTGATTTTTAGTAGCTTGTGACCATTGGAACGATTTTTTCATTAACCATGTGTTTATTCTACATTTGCATGTTCTAATCAGCATTGGCAGCCCTATCTACCCTGATCTGAGTTTCCTTTGAGGAAGAATAGGCAAACATTTTATTAGTAATAAAAGACTTATTCCAATGCTACCAAAAATATGAATATGGATATTTTGTGATATTGGTGAGAAAAAAGGTTATTGTCCCAACAAGATCCTTTACACGATTTAGTTTAGTATCTAAAGCGAAAGGTACAGCGTTTTTCACGAGAATCGATCATGGTAGAAAACAGCTGATTATCTAGTGATTTCAAAACTCCCCATATCAACAAGTGAAACATAATTAATTGTTCAGGATTTGTCTACACCAGGTAGACGGATCCATGTTTTGTGGTAGTTTTTTTGTTACAGATTCATTTTGTACTAGCTAATAAGGTCAGGTGGGAATAAAATAAGATAAACAGTTTTTGACTATGTTAATTATCTCTACTTTTTAGAACTTGAAACACCATGATTTTAAATGATAATGAAACAGCCATACACGTAATTCAGAATGTGTGTTAGTATATGTCCATATTGATAGAGGTTTAATTTCCCTGGATTAGGTCTGAACATTACTCAGGTAATTCTATCGTTAGAAATTCGAAAAATGTAAGTAAAATGTACAACTATTGCAGGAAGTCATGAATACAGGCATGGGCCAATTGTTACCAACACTGCAAAAATCAAACATTTCCCAGTAACTTGAAAGTATAATCCAGATATGTGAACAACAGCTCCGAATACGGTCCTGAAATTGAGTATTGCCAACGTTGCAGACTAATACAGCTGATCAGCTGTTCACCTCAGTAGACATCAAAACATAATGGATACTCGTAAAAAATACATTATGCCTAAAGTTAAATTTTTTTTCTAAACCTCAAATTACTTATTGTATCTTTTATAGGAAACTACCTTGTTTTTCAACACATAATACCTTAAATTTTTCTAGGCTCGCCACATTTACATCTGTGACTTCCACAAAATGATCATCCAGTGCGCTCGAAATAAAAGGCGACGGAAGGACTCCGAGGATGATTCGAATGAAACGGACACGGATGTTCCAGAAGTGGATCTGTACCAGCTGCAGGTGAATACTTTGAGGCGGTACAAGCGGCATTATAAGGTGCCCATGCGCCAAGGACTGAACAAGGCACAGCTTGCTGATGTAAGTATATTTCTACTAAGTTTGCTTCAAAAGAGCCATATCCAGATATGATTTTAAGTGTTAGTCTCTTGAGGAAGGGACCCTTAAGAGCTCGCTCAGGGCTCAAGACAACTATTAGGGAGGACGCATATCACTTGATCACTTGAGTCAAAGAAGGTTTAGCAATGTGGCAGTGATTGTGTTTAGGCAGATTGTATGTGCACCATATGTCAAGAGTTGAACAAGTTTATGTTCCATCTCCATGAAATCTGTTCTGTAAGAATAAGTAACTTACATATTGTCATCTTATAGCAGAACTATTTCATGCCATATATTTCCAAATTTTGCTTTCATATTGTATATGGCGTATTGAAGATCGTCTCGCGCGCTGCAGAAGTATCCCATGTCTATGCTGTCGGAGAATACCGAAAACGACCGATTAAAAATTTAGTCTATCTCCTACGCTTCTAAAGGATGGGCCATCAGTTGTTTTTTTTAAGTTTGTATTATTTTGACTGTTGGTAACACTTCCATGCTCAACATATTGACAGATATATTGTGTCAAACTTCCGCTGTTAGCAATGGATCATTTTAATCTTGAACAAAGGTGGGAGAGAGAGAGAAAATGAAAATTGAGAAGACTATTTGGTCGGCATGAAGCTCCGTCCGCGACTGGTATACGAAAATTCGTGAAGAAGGTTCGTGTAACTGGCCTGCTTGTGGATAACAGAAGGTATGAGCGTGTTTGACCAGTACGTACAGCCGAGAAAATGGCTGCTGTTGCCCAGAGAGTGCGTGAAAACGCAAGAATGTCAACTTGTCACAGAGCACAACAAGTGGGCATCAGTTGCACTTCTGTGAGGAGAATATTGCATAACGACCTGGGATTATTTCCTTACAATGTGCAACTTGTGCAAGAGTTGAAACAAAATGACCATCCGCTTCGATATCGTTTCTCTGTGTGGGCTCTAAATCTATAGGAAACGGACGTCAATTTTGGTCGCCAAATCATCTTTTCGGACGAAGCACATTTCCATCTGGGAGGTTACGTTAACAATCAGAACTGTAGGATTTGGGGTCGTCAATGACAATGCGTCCAAAAAGAGTAACTGTTTGGGGTGGTGGGATTATTGGTCCCTACTTTTTTCAAGATGAAGATGGTAACAGCGTGACGGTAAACGAGGAACGCTATAGAGACATGTTGAGGAGTTTTTTGTGACCACTATTGAGACGACATGGACTTGCACAATCTCAGGTTCCAGCAGGATGGCGCAACATGCCACACCAGCCGTGAAACAATCGATCTTTTACACAGTAAGTTCGGTCATCGCGTTATCAGCCGTTTTGGAGACGTTCATTGGCCAGCCCGCAGCTGTGATTTGACGCCCATGGATTACTTCCTATGGGGTACTGTTAAGGACCGCTGTTACACTAACGATCCTCAAACAATTGATGTTCATAAGGAAAATATCCGTCGAGCTATTGATGAAACAGACTAATAGAGCCACAAACTAACGAAAATGTGCTTCACTGCAAGGCCAGCCGCGGCAGCCATTTAACTGAAATTTTTTTTCATAAATAATCTGAAGGTGTATTCTTTTGAACAAAGTATCGAGTGTAACATATTATTGAAGAGTATAGTTTCAATACCAATTTAAAAAAGAAACAACGGATGGCCAACCCTTTATTTCTGTTGCGCAGAACTGTTTTATCTGCCAAAGGCTGCAATTACTGTTTTTGACATAGTATTGTTCTGCTCTAATGAGACGATGTCTTGTTTGCATCATATGCTTCAAAGTATTTCACAAGAGTTGCCTCAAACTATTGATAAACGCAAAATAATATGTAGCAAAGAATGCTCAGAGATGCATGGAGTACATATAACAAATATATTAAAAGAAGTAATAGCAGAGCCCACGCAGGAGTTAAATCAAAAAAATGCATTAATCGATAAACAAAGGAAACAATCTAAAGTGTTGGAAGATGATGCAATTAAACTTGAAACACAATATTCACAGCATCTTCAATCTTGGGATCTCAACATTTTAACACTAGATAAAGGGCTACTGAAAGAAGAAAATAAAATTACAGAACTTTAGAAAAAGTATGATGAAGATATGAACCAATGCAAAAATGAGTCTGGTAGCAAAATAAAAGTGTTGATAAAAGAACCAGCAGATGAAAGACGTAAAAATAGGACTATTAACAACTAACCAAAAAAACAGTAAGTCATGGAACTCTTACTATGAACCTGTTAGATGGGTTAGAACAGAGTGAAGATCATCGAGAACTTGTATTCTCCTCTCAAGTAGAAAAATAGTAACAAATCTCAAACAGTGGCATGGGAGGATCTTCATCTGTATATCGAAATAATAAATTATATCACAGATAACAAACAGAAAATTGACAATGACGATGTTTTCACCGCAGTCACCTAACATAAAAACAAAACTCGACATTCTCCTAGAAAAAATACCTATGCAGGCTGCAGATGCCCTACATCCTACTACCTCAGGCTCACATGTGGTCATGCAAGAATAGGACAAGGTGAAGTACCAAAGAGTAGATTCACAACAAAGAAGAAGAACCATTTTTTGTTAGTAACCTAAATGCTGAAAATACGGATCATACATTTTTTTTGGTGGCAGCTGACTTCAAGTTCAAAGAGACGTTTTATGATAGAAATTTCTGGCCCAAAGGTTTGAGATTTAATTTCACACTGTTCAAGGAAAAATATGGCACTGTCTGTAATTTCCTATGAAAGAAAATGACAGGAGCATCATAGTCCTTTTTTGTTGATTCCGACTTCACGCACAAATGCCTTACGTAAATGCAGACTAAATTTAACTAACCATGATATAATAAGAATTAAATTAATATATCAAAATATTCAGTCTCTCTCTAATAAAATACCAGAATTAGGAATTGGCCTAAAAACGGAACAGCCTGATATAATTCTTCTAAGCGAACGTTGGTTAAATCAAATCCACATTTCCAATATAGGATACCAGTTGGTAAACTCGTTTTGTCATAAGAACACCATATACGGGGGAGGGTTGCTATTTATGCGAGACCAAATATCCATTACACTATGATGTCATCTGTGAGTCAGTTTTGTGTAAAGTCAGTATGTGAATGTTCAGGTGTTATTTCTGATCTTGTAACAAATAAATTAGCATTGATTGTATCTTATCGATCACTTACTGCAAATATTCACTCATTTTTTAAATGTTTTAAAGCAAGATAGCAGATAAATGTAAGAATATTTCAATTTCTGGGGCTCTGAATATAGACTGGTTTTCTAATATCATACGACAACATTTAGCTGTTATACTATTTAATTTTGACCTAGGATCAATTTTGCCAAAGGAACCTACTACAGAATTTTCAGGAGCTAGAGCTGCAATAGATTATGTCCTTACAACTTTTAAAGTAGGTGTAGGACAAAACAAAGAGCACATCTCTGATTATAAAACTCAAAATTTGAATTATCTATAAGTAGACCAGATAGTAATCATCATCGGAAGAAAGTCTATATTTATAGGAGATTTTATTCTTTGAGTATTCTAGATAACCTTACACGGTTTCTCTCTATCACAGATATGTCTTCAGTATTTAGCATTAAGGCGTAGCAATTTTTTTGGGAAAACATAATACACTGTCTTGATAGAACATGTCCTTTAACTAGAACTCTGTTGAAATACCATCAAACAAATAACTAGATTGGCTGAGATATTTTGGAGGACAGCAATAATGTGCAAAATATATACTAGATATATCAAAATTTCTGAAAGAAACATATAGGCAAGCTGAGTTTCCCTTATTTTGCAGGGGGAAGGGCCTAAAAAAAGAATAATAATCTTCTACAATAGCCAGGCTGCAATGAAAGCACTAACTGTCTGCAAGATTACTTCGAGCTTTGTATTGCAATGCAGGAAGGCTCTGGAAGAATGAAAAATAAACAAAGAATAACGCGTATAAACACGAGCTATCGGACTCGTAACAGATCCAGTCAAAATTGCAAATTGCTTTTGTGAATCCTTTGCAACCACAGCTGAAAAGATAATTACCACAGAATACTCAAACATTAAAGATCGTGAATATACTAAAGGCAAAACAGTACCAAACTCGATGGCAGAAGAGTTAATGCAATCTCTAAATGAACTGAAAAGTAAGGATAAGACCTGATGTATTGCCAATAAAAGTACTAAAGTTCATTTCTCAATATTAAATATAATATATCCACCGTGATTTGTTGAAAGTAGCTATGGTGTTGCCTGTTTACAAAAAATTAAGCACTGAACTCAAAATTCTCGCCCCATAACATTACCGTCTGCCTTCTCGAAGCTATTTGATAAAATAGTTTATAATAGAATTTATGTTTTTTCAAATGAGCTTTATATTCTATCTGTTAAACAACGCGGTTTTCGAACTAACAACTCAACAAATACGGCAGTACTTTCATTGCTTTCGTTCATCTATAACAAACCTTGATGACAATTATTACACAATGACAATTGTTTTTGATTTATCAAAAGCTTTCGTCTGTCACTCCCTTGAATAAAATTTAAAAAAATGAAATATAAGCGAATACTCAAAATGTCTGTGTTATGTACCGCGATTATAATATGGTTTAAGATGACGCACGGGTTGATGACGTCAGTTACTCGAATCGCTTGAACGCGTTGGTTTTAACCGCGGTTGTGTTGCAAGTTATAAGTTATTCTGATTGTTTTTATTATCACTTAATAATCAGTACTTTTTCGGCTACAACAGTGTATGGAAAGTTTAAAAAAGGAACCTTTCATAATATTAATGGGAGAAATGTTTTTTTTCTGAAAATAATTTTTAATGATGGAACCATAGCTCTGTAGCTATGATAACTTTCAATTCTCTGAACTTTTCCGAATGTCAAAGAAAACATTTATTAATTTAGCAGAAATGATAGGAAAAAGTGATGAAAAAAGATATTAGCAAAACCGTATACAGGTGGACATTATCCAGGGTTTTTAGATGGCCATATTTTAATATACTTGTGTTATATGTATATGGCTACACAGGATACGTTGTTAAGCATAGGAACTAGATTTAAAGTGTCCCCAACAACAGTAATGAGTATAACTAATAAGGTGCTCTACTTTATGCTACAACTGAAGTCAGCCTGTATCAAGTTTCCCAAAAATGAAGCTGAAGTACAACAAAAATATCCAATACCCGGCAAAATTCTGAGTTATCACATTTCAAATAATAACCAGAAATATAAAAATATTCTTTAGTTGGGTAAATACCACAATTTTGCGGTGATAACTATGATATACAACAGCTGATTCATGACGTCACGGATCTTATAACCAAACTGATAACCACACTCGTTTGAACGGATCGGTAAATACCAATCCAAAATGGTAAATACCATTTTCATTTGGTAATTCGCTTGAATTTGATTAAAGTCTATGTTTCCAGACAGAAATCCCGTAGACCAATGGATTCTGTCATTTATGTCAAACAGAAAAATTCAGGTTAAGCTGGGTAACACTATCTCTAATCGACATGACATAAACTTTGGAGTACCTCAGGGTGGAATGCTATCACCACTTCTGTTATTTGTGAACGATTTAGATGAACACATATATGATAATAATTGTTAAGCAAAGTCGCTAGGGGATTTAGAAAGAAAGGCTAATGTCATAATGTGATCCAAAGTTTTAAAAAAGGGTGTTGTATTAAATAGGTTACTAATAGGCAGATAAAACCAAATACATCTTGTATTACAAACGAAGACCACAGAACAACATCATGTTTACAATAAACAATACGTCACTGGAAAGAGTACCAAACAAAATTTTTAGGTGTAATAGTGGATGAGCATTTGAGGTGGAAAGACCACATAAATTATGTAGCCAAAAAAATGAATTCAGCACTTTTTACTCTAAGGAACTTAAAATACATAATGTTAAAAAAAACTTCATTGAATGTCTGCTACTCTATTATATATTCCCACCTCAAATATTTAGTGCTATATTCGGGATCATATGTTGACATCCAACGAATATTTATCCTTCAAAAAAGAATAGTCAGACTCTCGGTCTCATTGCATCATCTAGAGTCTTGTTGAAAAATATTTGAGATGCAAGGATACTAACGTTAGCATGGATCTATGCTCAATAATTTGCCCTCCAAGTTGAAAGCCGTCAACGATTAAAAGTCTTCAAAAACACAACTTTTAAAATACTTGTACCCTTCATGTTTTTACCCTGCAACAGTTTTATAATTCCTAATAATTACATATTTATTAGTTTAATTGGTTATTTTATTAATTATATATTTATGCTGTTCTTTAACTATTTATACTTCTAAACATTTTTTTTGGTATTTATTTTATAACTTGTTATTAGCCACTTTCATTTAATCATCCATATTTTTACCTTTACTTATGTAAATCTGACCGTGCATGTGCGTGTGCGTTTTAATTTTATTTTAGATGTATCTTGAAGTGTCCTATATATTTTTGTATCTTAGTGATAAATATGTACTACTACTACTAACTGGAAGTTTTGAAAAGCGTTTTTCAATGTCAGGTTCGCTCTTAAATGGTAGTTGATTAGAAGGGGAAAAGTTAAACCGCAATGCCAAACTTGTTTTGCCTGACAGAAACATGAGTTGTCACGAATGATACGATATACAAATACCGAGCATCACGAGACACGCAGAACACGATCGTTTATACTTAAAAACAGCATTGCCCCATCAACTAGATTTTGAAAAACCGAGCCTAAAAGTTAGTAATTGTATATTTTCTCGACAGGCTTTGATGAAGCATTTCAAGACAATCCCCGTAAAGGAGAAAGAAGTAGTGACTTTCTTCATCTACACTGTGAAAACGAACGCCAATAAACTGGACCAAAAAAATGGCATCAACAATGACACAAATTGAGGAGCGTTTTTGTGCAATCCATGCAATTATGTATTTATAATATTGCACCATAGCATTAAGAAAGTAATACTTAAATATTGTTTTTACGTTTATTGATTGTAATTGAACATTTTTTTAAATAAAAAATCACGAAATATAAAATAAAAGTAATCTCAAGTTAATCGTTTTTTCCTTTTCTTCGTCTTCTGGTCTGCATTTAATACAATTACTGCTTCTTCTTCACTATCTGTGTCGGCGATATCCACCGTCTCAACTGAAAACAAGACGATCACAATAAATCATGCAGAAAAAGATGTTTCAGATAAAATGAATGTCCAAGCTAGATGCATTAGGAATAATGCAATCTGAATTTAGGAAAATGATTTTACAAGTGAAAGTACCAAAACGCTAAAGGTTTTAAGTGAGAAATTCCGTATTCCTCATTGTCTCAGCCGTTGATATACAGGATGCCACAACGAAAAGGTCGCACTCCCATCTGTGACCCTCCTGGTATATTTTGGGAAGAACACTCGGACACGTCAATTTTGATCTTTTCATCTATAGCCGTAGAATACAGGGTGAACCAAAAATAAGATATTGCGTTGTTACACTTTAGATTTTTAAATGGAAACCCCCGTTGGTTTTTAATTTTTAGATTTTGAATGGTTTTAGTAACTTTTGTATAATAAAGTTTATACCTATCTTGTGAAACTATTTGCGATCATAGTGCAACTTTAGAAATTGTGATAATATCGTAAAAATCATAAATAATCAATATATACTGAGTGACAAAAAAAGGGACCCCCCCCCCCCAGTTTATCAGATTTTAATAATTTTTGGCAGATATGTTCAATGTCCCTTAAAATGATTAAATTTTCAGCTTGATTCGTCGCCTGACTGCAGAAGCTGCACGATTTCTTATACACTCATTGATACGCCTGGGTATCATGCTGATAAGGTGGTCTATATCCTGTTGGGGTATCTCATTCCAGGCTACTGCAACTTCGTGAGTAACAGCTGCTAAAGTCTGTGGAGGGTGTTGCAAATTCAAGAGCCTGCGACCAGACATGTTCAATTGGAGATAGGTAAGGCGATCATGGTGGCCAAGGTAAACGGTTGATGCGGTGTTGATCGATGATGGCTAACGATGCTCTGGCAACATGCGGTCTGGCATTGTCTTGCTGAAAAATCGGGTTTTGGATGGCGTTTAGGTATGGAATAAGATTAGGCTCCACTACTTCCTGAATATAGCGTCAGGCTGCCATATTGTCTCTGATGAAAATTAGTGGTGATCTGCTATATAAGCAATAGCACTCCATACCATAACTCTCTCAGAGCCAGAAGGCTTAACCGGCGGTCTTGTCGCTCTGTGGTCCCTCAGGGACGTCCAGAATCCCTCGCTCGCTGTCTACGCTCGTTCACACTACAGTATACTGCGTAAGCGTCTGTTGGTCCGCCTAGAAACTTCCCTTATCGATAGACCGGCTTTACGCAACCCGACAATCCGACCCATCTCAAAGTCACTTAGCTGGAGCACCTGGAGAATTCTACGCACTCTAGGCATTTTCAGAAATTACAAAAAGGCTTCTCACTAACATTTAACTGACACCGTAAATGTACGATAACTGAATGCTTCTTTATCACCAAACCATACACGCAGCCACCACAAAAACTAAACAGAAAAACATGACCATTTTATCTCTTTTTCATGGCAAGATAAATCGATATGTACAAAATTCTTGAATTCTAGTAAATATACGTAGGTGTTTACCTTTTTTTGTCACTCAGTATAGTTCCCATAGTAAAAGACTTTACAATTAAGAACAAGTCTCCGAGGATGTTCTATTCTAGCCACCTATGGTGATCCCTGAGGTAGCGGAACCTATAACAGAAATTGTCGCATGCAGGGATGCGCGCTTGGTCTCTGTACAGCAACATGTGAGTTGTGCATTAACTGCAAGTGACAATACTCTCCTCTAGGTTCAAAGATGGGGGAGGGGCGCATGCTGGCAGATATTGACATTTAAGCAAAGAACTCAGAAGTACTCTAACAGAGGCTTCCATTGATATATTGTTCTTCGGTGTAGGTCTGACCAAGTAAGTCAATTCTAAATAGAAATCAGATAAATATGAGCAGCAACTGAAGGCCAAAGGGCCGGACAACGTACTGACAACATCAGCCATCACCGATTACACTGATAAACACAGGATTTGTGACATGACAATTTTTGGGTGTATCTTATGTATTTTGAGACTCTTAAATCAAATCTAAAAACAGAATTTTTCTATCGCCCACAGATAATCGATAACATCTACTTTTATGAATTACAATACGTAACATCTCATATTGCTGCATTTCTCTGTGTTTATGTGATGATGCACATATATAATGTTAAAACCTGTCTATTCCTGTTTATTATATGCGAGCTGTATGTTTAGAGAGTAGACTAATAGCAGCCGAGTCAGTTACGTTTTCTGTGTTGAAGAGTAGTGAGATGTTCTGAGTACTGTTAATTTTTGTTGAAACGGTGTGTTGTTTTTAGTTTATTGTGATCGAGGCGAGCTTTATGGACAATACTTAGAAATTTTGTAAATAGTGCGAACAGTTTTTGTTATGTGTGCGAAGAGCCAAGTTTTAAATCCCAAAAACGTACTTTTACTCCCCTTGAGTTGAAAGCATACGAACTTTAATTTGGAATTAAAGTTGGCGACCAAGATAAACTATGGGCCCCTCATATATGTTGTAAGACTTGTGTAACGTTGTTAACAGATTGATGTTAAGAGGCGACAATCGTAAAATGCCCTTTAGGGTACCAATGGTTTGGAGAGAACCGAGAGACCATATTACTGATTGCTATTTTTGCCTCACAAATATTAAAGGTATTGGACCAAAATCGAAACATACTGTGTATTTTGATTTACCATCAGCTTTGCGGCCCGTTAAGCATAGTGATAAGCTTTCTGTCCCAGTTCCACCAGAATCTTTTGTCTTTGGATGAAAAAGTCGAATCCACCGATTCTGAAAGGCGAACTTAATGACTTAGTTCGAGAATTAAATGTCAAAATCCCAGTCAGAACTTTTAGCGTCAAGATTAAAAGGATGGAATCCTCTCCACGGTAATATTCACATTACTTTTTACCGAGAATGGCAACAAGACCTCACACACTGTTTCCATCAAGAAAGGGAGTTGATATATTGCGTCAACAATTTGTTTGACGCGTTAGGAGAGATACATGATCCAAATGATTGACGCCTGTTCATTGATTCCTCTAGCGGTATTGGTACACAACGGTAATAAATATCCATCTGTACCTATAACGCACGCAGTTCATATGAAGGAATCATACGAAAATATGCGAGTTCTGTTAGAGCATATCCGCTATAATGAATATGGATGGGCCATATGTGCAGATTTAAAGATAATAGCCCTTCTTGGAATGCAACTGATATATACCAAATGTTGTTGTTTTCTTTGTGAATGGGACAGTAGTGAGCGAGATCGTCATTATGAACAGAAGGAGTGGCCACTATGTCATGTATTAACTCCGGCCCTCAAAAACGTGTTGCTTCCACCTTTGCATATTAAGTTGGAACTCATGAAAAATTTTGTGAAAGCTATGGATCGAAATGGAGGAGGGTTTCTGCATTTAAAAAAAAAAACATTTCCGAGACTTAGTGAGGCAAAAATTAAAGAGGGCATATTTGTGGATCCACAAATACGGAAAATCATGAAGGATAATGTATTTCAAATGAAACTGAATTACGAGCTTGGAATGCTTTTAAATCAATTACTGCAAATTTTTTAGGCAATGTGAAGGCGGACAATTATGAGTGAACTAATTAATCCTTATAAAGGAATGGGATGTAACATGTCTCTAAAAATGCTCTTTTTGAATTCTCATCGCGATTTTTCTCCGGAAAATGTAGGTGCGGTAAGGGATGAATATGGTGAACGGTTCCACAAAGACATTTCTGCTATGGAAAAACGGGATCAAGGCAAATGGAGTGTCAATTTGCTTGCTGATTATTGCTGGACATTGTTAACAGATACTTCAGGAGCAACATATCGACAACAACATTGTGAGACTAATGTTTATCCGAGTATTTATTAGTACTCTTACACACATATCCTCATATTTTACGGGTATAAGCAGCAAATAGAATGCCTTATTGCAAGAAAACCGTGGGTGATAGAAAAAAATCGAATGCTATTTCCGGCTTTTTGGGTACGTTTTACATAATAACCACCTTGTTTTGTCCATGTCACAAAAAATTGTTTTAATTTTGTTCAACAGTACTATTGCAGATGAGGTGCGTAGACATTGACGCGTATGCATCATCAATGGCAGAGCTTTAGGAGTGTGGCTAAAGTCCTGAGTTGGATTCGAGTAATCACTTGCCATTCACATGGCGACTGATTCAGCACTTTGCAAAAGCTCAATCTCATTAGTCCATCTATGAACTACGGACCTTCGACAGTCTCTCAATTGCTTAGCTGCTATCAGTAAAAAAGTTGAGCTAACTAAAAATCTGCGCCTATCCAACACGTTTGATTCCTTACCTCAAGAAACTTTGTCTGTTTGGAGAGATAGAACACATAAGTTAGAAGGCTATTGAACTGGAATCAGACTTCTCCGTAGATATACAAACTTTCTTAACGAATCTGGATTTGGAATATGCAGAGATTTTGGTACCCATTAGGGAAAGTCATAGAATATATATTTCATATTCAAGGGATAGCTATTCCAATACAGTGATGTACCGTTTAGGGTAAATTCTGCCCTTTATGTGTTCACAAAGTTGATAAAACCATTTCTGGCTTACCTTAAGAAAAAATTGGGCACTTTTAGGTCCAGTATTGAATTGTGACAGAAATAATCTTTACTTGAGCAGACGAGGCAGACATTACTAAACCTAGTAAGGGCAATAATGGACAGCAACCAAGACACAGTCCGAAACTTTGCGGTAAGCATCGGGATCTTGGTGTCAGCTTATCTTTCATCTCGTTGAAGCCGACTATACACTAACGAGTGAAATTTCTTGCCCTGTAAAATTCTCAAGGAAACTTCAACGCTACTATGCCACTAACATAACTTAAGTTCTACCTCGGCTGGTGCTCAAAGAAACTGTCAGATGCGGACAGAAGTATTGAATGATTCAATTTTTAGTTGTATAATTTCTCGGGCAGGGACATTCGTTGGTCATGGCAAAAGTCTCATAGTTTTTGGTCACACGAGAAGATCCCATATCATACCCCACTGATAATGCGACATCTACATCCTGTATCAATAGACTGAGGAGCTTCTAGTTTCCACGTCTGGACCATGTTGCGGGAGAGCTATTGGCAGTTGTGTAAAGAGAGAAATTTTACTGCCCTCCCGTCAAATATAAAATCTAGGAGTAATACTGAGCTTTTACGTCAGTCTGACCTGGAAACGGAGTGGGATCTGCACGCTGCTAGAAGTAACGCAAAGATCGGAGGGACCCAGGACGCCGCTCCCACTAATTCTGAAGCTTACCGTGGTGGTCGTCACTGGAAAGCTGTCATCCCAATCACCATCTATAATCCTTCATCTTATTGTGAGCTTAGATTACGGTAGGACCTTTGTCGGGAAGAAATAAATGTTGTTCTACCTTAAAATTTCTCACCTTATAGTGTGATAAGAGATTAAGATATATGTAATTGTGTGAGTTATCAGTCTTTTACCCAAAATTCTACCAAAGATGCAGGCAGTTTTTGAAGGGCATTTACAGGCTGAAGCCATCTCAACCGAAATATACTGTGGTTGTTCTCAACCAAACAGAAAGGTTGCTGGTGACCTCTGTAGATATTCGGATGAGCGAAAATCAGCAACACTGGTAGCCCTAACCTCAGGTCAGAATGTGCAAACTAATTGAAACAGACAACATCCGGATGGGGTTGAATAATATTGAAATTGGGATTTCTCAGTTTTTGAAAGTCTCGGGGCCACTCATGTGGCAACCACTTTTAGTTTTGCCGTATTTTACGCCCAAATATTTGTGCAAAGTATTTATTTGTCACTGTAACGTCGGTTTCAGCAGAGAGTGATCTAGATGTGTCACAATTGAACCTATGTACATCATATTACCTGTTGTTAAAAGCCCTAACTTGAGTTCTTAGAATGGTAATGTACATTTAGTTGACAAATACATTGCGTACAATTTGTGTAGTTGTGTACAACCTATCGCATTTGAAGTAAACCAAATCTCCACACCTTAACATAACTATGTTATTACGTTATTTGCTTGTTACCATGTAACAGATGATAATTTTTGAACCTATGTACATCATATTACCTGTTGTTAAAAGCCCTAACTTGAGTTGTTAAAATGAAAATGTACATTTGACAAATACACAAGTAGTATTTACTTCGACGAGACCCGAACATAATTACGAGATCAAACGAACTTACGTGTAAGTAATGTTCGATCCCAATTATGTGAAGGTCTCGTCGAAGTAAATAGCTCCCTCGATCCCTATGTATCACCCAATTGTTGTAACAACTTGGCTGTGAAGAAAATGAGTGTTTATAGGCGGCCAGAGAGGAGGAAGGTAAGGGGGGAACGGTGCCGCTTTCCTTCGCTGCGTGCGCGCTTTGAATTCGTGGGTTTGGTGAGGTTCGAGGGTACTATAAGTAATATTTACTTCGACGAGACGTCCACATAATTACAATCGAACATCATTTACAGGTAAGTTCGTTTGATCATGTAATTATGGTGTCTTATGCCCTGATGATTTGCTCTAAGCGATCAGCTGTCTATACCAAGAAATCGTTGGGCATAACGTTTCACAGTAAGGATAAGATGCAGGACAGAACTACAACGTTATTCATTGTTTAATGCTACAAAGTAATAAAGGGCCTAAAACTAGGACATAGGAATTACATTGATAAAGAATTAACTTAAAAGCTTAGAATAGGAAAATTTCGTTAGACCTAAAATTGAATGATTCGATTTTGTTAAGTGATTTAGAGCCCTCTGTGAAAGGTCTCATTGGAGAAATCAAATGGGGCGTTAGTGATTGCAAGGTTCTGTTCTGTTCTGCAGACTTTGTGTAGATGCGTTTAGGCCAGCAAACAGAAAGCCATACATGTGCAATTTTGATAACATAGGGTAGAGGTACTGAATGTAATTTGGAATTAGAGTGATAAAATATGTAAAATACTGATTTATACCAGTTTCAATGTTAATAATTTTCAGTTCTTATCACCTTTGTGCGTTAGAATAGTCTGTAGATCCTTTGCTCTTGTAGGTATGTCACATACCAGACAAAATTAAAGAGAATGTAGGCAATGCAAAAGGAAGGGAGAGAGCAAACAGAAGGGAAATTATTCCTTTTCTACAAACACTACACGAAGTAGTTTCTTATACTGATTACCTTTAGGGTGTGGCAGTTCAACAAACTCCACTGCATCGTCTTCACTTTCACTAGTGTCCCAAACTTTTATTGCATCACCATCATCATTTTCTTTAGGCACCAGCACTGCTGTACCTGCAACTAAAATGAAATTCAAAGCACATTATGATGTTGAACGGTGCCAATATAAAAACTATTAGCCTAAAACACATTAAATTCATAATTTTTAGGTGGTAATTATTTGAAAATTAATATTCAAACATGAGTTCAGAATACAAGGATTTACCTAAAGGTTTAATATCTGCAGTTATATCTGGTTCCTTTACTTCTTGCTCTATCTGTTCGTCTTTAGGTTCTTTGGATTTCCTCTTGTTCTTTTTCTTTTTAGTAGACCACTGATCTAGATATACACTCAATTCTTCTACAAGTTCCACTGGATCTCTTTTATTTGCTAGTCTACAGAACCCATCTTTCTGTTCTCTCCTGAAAACAATCAGATTGGAAAAATTAACGTTTAGATTATAATCAGTGATTATTGTATTCTCCAAGCCCAACCCTATGATGCATTTGAATATTTCCACGTACACATCCATATTGCCAAGATCGCAGTAATTCTCTTAGAAGCAATAAAACCCATGTGGGTTTTGGAATATTGCTTCTAAACAAAGATCTCTCAAAGAAATTTTTTTATTTGTTATTATACATCCCGAACTGATAGATGTAGATACATCATTTTGAAAAAAATTGAGGACTGAAGCTTCAGTCCGTTACAAAATTGTTACAGGAATTATAAAAGCGTCTTGTCGGAGTGTAACCAGGTATTGAACACCGAGATGAGGCCGCAAAGCCCTCTTGCTACTGAAATGCTTACTAAGCATCTGCAGAAAATGCTATGCATGCAACAGCTTAGCGAGAAGTTATGCAGTATCTGCAGACTCAACTCTGATGCAACATGGTAGTATTAACTGCCTAGTCACTGAGAGGAAATAATATACTTAGTACCTTGGGGCACATTTCTAAAATACGCTCAATTAAACATTAAAGCATACGTGTATTATGCTTAAAATAACACCTAGCAAACATGATAGAGCACTACATGCATCCGCAGGTGGAAAATAAATGAGGCTAAATTAAAAGCACTCCCCGAAGCTTTGCAGTTAGCTCTATGGAACACAAAATTGAATAATTACAGGGAAAACGTCCAACTATTGGAGGATGTACTCATGACAGCATGTGACTACACGTTCAATGTCGTCCACAAAAGTAGTCAAGTGAGAGAAGCAAAGTATTGGTGGAAGAATGAAATAGCACTAAAAAGAAAAGAATGGCTATCGGACGTAGTACAAGAGAAAACTGAAAGTAGCATAGAACAAAAAATGCATCAAGGGACAATGCTCTGATGCTTGAATACAAAAAAAAACATCAGTTTACCAGGAAAGAACTAGATAAAACTCATAATGGAGTCCAAACAGAAGATATGGAAAGAACTACTAAATGACCTTGAAAACAACGTTTATAGCTAATCGTACATGTTAGGTACGAAAAAGCTAAGTCTCGCAGAAACACTGTACCTCTATACCGAACAACAAATTAAAAATGACGAGCGATTGTTTCCGAAGTGCTCACTCACCTTTCTGGACGTACCAGACTTCACAATGAGTGAGCTGGAAGATGCTGCAACGCACCTGAAATCAGGTAACGCACCAGGACTCAACGAAATTCCACACGAAATCGTGAAAGGGCTGGTTAAAGAAATCCCCGAAATCGTGCTGTCTGTGATGAATGAATGCTTGGCAACAGGAGTCTTTCCAAAAATGTGGAAGAAACTGAACTGAAGCCCACATATATAACTCTGTGCAAACTGAGCTTACTAGAAAGGCTACTAGAAGAACGACTGATAGAAGAATGGTTAGGAAAATACGTCGAGAAAAAGAACGAGCTGTCTCCTCGCAATACGGATTTATAAGGAGAAAGAATACCACAGCGGAAACAGCCCATAGCGGCAGTAGTGAGAGGCTTTGCGTTATGGTTTCCTTTGATGTTAAGGACTCCTTCAACATCATCGGATCTCCCGCGAAGCTAAGCACCCGTAGCTATCTATTGAAGTTCGCAAAGAGCTACTTCAATGAGAGGACAAAGTATGATGGAGTTAACCAATGGGGTACCGCAGGGCTCCGTTCCAGGGCCGTTGCTTTGGAACGTGATCTACTGTGGGGTTCGTCGGTTGCTGATGCTACCGGGAATTCGCCTGATAGGGTATGATGACGACCTAGCGGCAATAGTGACTAGCAATGAGAGGGTAGAGGTATACTAGAAATGGTCTTGGCTCACGTACATCGGTGCAAAATCAACGTATGTACATCGCATCCTTGGAGCTAGTGTATTCAATAATAAGCTACCATCAGTAGATGGCTTTCACACCTTACATCACCGAGTGGCAGAATGATTTGGAAGATGGAAATATACAATATAGGCTGATCAATACACGATGGTCATAACTTAATTGGAACATATTTTTTAACATTTCTATATCACATTTTTTAAACCTTTTCCCTTATATTAAAGGTGGTGATGATGTAATTAGTTTTGTAGTTATATGATACTACACTAAATCGTAGCTTATCTCTCGTATAGATCTCGAAAAGCTAATCTGCTAGAACTTACAGGTTCTGCAAACCTAACCTCAGATAACCTTCGAACCCCGTCTTAAAAGCAAACTTGTTCCATGGAGTCAAAGCAAGTCCGTGTCTATGTAATGAAATCAAATGTGTTATATTTTGCAAGTTCAAGTATGACAGAAATAATATTTTGATCCTAAATTATAAAAATGGCGTCATGTAAGTTGACTCTGCAGTTCCTAGGCAACGCCGTTATCAGTTCATAAAGGATTATGTTCAGCCCAAGCTAGACCCTCTAAGAAAAAAGTCAGTCAAACACGTCCATACAATTAGTCCTTGACATTTTTTCCCTGCCCTAGTGGTAGGTACCGACCATGTGGCAACATTGCCCCTTTCCACATCTCAGCGGCATCTGTAGCGAGTTATCTTTCGGTTCGTGCAAGTTTCAGCTTCAGTACGAATAAAAATATAAGCCGGACTGGTTCGCTTTGATAGGCACGAGTATACAGATCGAAAACATTTCTGTATCATTCTAAGTTTGAAACGCAAATGTACGGGTAAATCTATGATGTGTGAAATATGGCTAATAGATGCATAGAATTACCAGAGTTGACAGCGTATAAATATACTGAGATAAAAAATTCAAATACCCACCCCCTAAAACCCCAACCCTCAAATCTTCTGCCTGATCTTGCAGACTAGGCAGTTTTTAGAGTGTAAATAGTTCATTCCACGTTTGCCCGCTATGATAGCTGTGAGCGCCATTGAAAGCGTCCATCTATGGTGGAACGACTAACGACAGGACATGCAATGTTGGTTGCAGAAAGTCCAATAGTCTGTAGTATTTATCTCTGAGAAGATGTGAAAAAAAGAAACTTGGTTGAGCATCAAAATCGCATTTGGGTGATTATGTGTTTTGGGCTGCATGTGAATAAAATCAGTGATATTTGCTATGTGAGAAAATTATTACTGAATATGCTGCCAATGAAGTATATCTATTAACCCTTTAACGCGCAGTAAACCGGAAAACTTCAAAAAAACTTCGCAAAAATCAGGCTTTTGACTCCCTAATGGACCCTTTCACTCAGATAAATCACAAAAAAAAATATCTAGCGAAAAAGTTCTGTTTTAGGGGCGAGAAAATAGTATCCCACTGCCCATGTAGGGAAACGAGCATCTGGCTGCGGGCAGTGGGTGATTATTTTTCCACCCCATAATTTGTCGCTGAACGGATGTAGAATTAAAAACACACAGTAAAAAATACTTTATTTCACGAAATTGTATATAATTTTTTCTAAGCAAAGGTCTATCTTTACAAAACAGAAACTTCAATACCACGACTAAATTGCATTGGAAGAATGAAAAGGTTCAAAACATGCATTGCACAATGCAACATTGCAAGCAGTACAAATCATGTTGCTTCGATGCTTGCTGTTGCTACGATATTTCTCTTGCTGCTTGGGCATATGGTCTCCGACGTTTGACAAACGAATTGCATTTTGGATGGTAGGGTAACCACCTGGTTGATGTTTTTTTTTCTGCCTACTCCCGCTCCGGGACTATAGCCCTTGCGTTTTCTGCTGCAGAAATTACCGATCATTTCGTTGACCAATTGAGAACGAAACTCGAGGTGAGACAAATAACGGCGACGCTGTTTTTTGGCCGAGTCCTTGTAGATGACGTAACTATTTACTATCGCCATATCGATGAAATAATAAAATAGTTTCAACCACCACCGACGAGATTTCTGGGCAATCGAGTAAGTCGACATAAACTAATCGAATTTGTCAACTCCACCCATGAAGGTGTTGTAGTCAGCGATAGACTCGGGACACTGATTCCCTCTCACCGCGCTTGTTTGTTCGAAGAACTGATCTCTGCTTAGTAGGGTTGTGCATAGAGCTGACAACGACAACCGACTTTTTGCCGCGATCTCGCCACTTTGCAATGCTTATGTTCCCCGATTGAACAAAATCGCTATCCCCAGTAGTCATCTGCTTTTTGGATTTCAGTTCGTTTTTTGGGTATAATTTTTGGTTTATCCTAAAGGTACCGCACGCAAAGAGACACTCGTTTAGTAGGAGCTTCAACAGTGGTAAGTTCGAAAAAAAATTGTCAAAGAATAGACAGTAGCCTAATCCACGCAGCATCGTAGATAATTCGAGAACAATCCTCTCTCCAAGCCCAAGATCGGGTGTTTCCGTAGAGCGACCTGTATATACCTGGAAGTACATTACGAAACCGGTAACTGAACACGCCATAACCTAGGCTTTGAACCCTCATTTTATGGGTTTCATGGGCATGTATTGTTTGAGACTGCTACGCCCTTTGAAACCGATCATACTTTCGTCTATTGAAAGAAATCGCGAAGGGTGGAATGCGTTCCGAAAGGCGTTCTGAAAATACATGATTAGGGGCCGTATTTTGAACAGGCGGTCGTAATTAGGGTCCGTTCTCGGTAACATCTCGAGGTTGTCATTTAGATATAGATAACGGAGTAATTTCAAAAATTGTTTTTGACTCATTACTCTAGCTATCCTCTCCACGTGAAAGTTATCGTCTTTACTCCAATAAGATCGGAAGGTCGGTAGAACATGGAATCCTATAAATATGAGCATGCCAAGCATAGCCCGCAATCCATCAACGGTCCTGCTGAGATCTACACCTTTTTGAGTAGCATACCGGTTCGACTAGGTCACAATAAAAGTCAAAATGTCAAGAGTCAAGAAAGTTTGAAGAACTTTGAAAGGAAAGCTCATATCTACATCATTTTTAGCCCCGGCACCAGGTTCTGAAAAGTGGAAGGTGCTGTATAACTTAGTATCCGAGCCAGATTTTGTCCAAGTGAAAGGAGATTGACTCGTAGCCGTGCGATTATCGTCACCTCCACCATCAGTGTCACATCCAGCTCTACCATTACCGTCACCACCATCTTCAGAGTTCCCGTCACCCCCAGGATCCCCGCCGCCACCAGAATCATCATCAGAATCTTCCTCAGACGAAGTATTGTGGATTTTTCGGCCAGGCTTGGGAGAATTTGAATAATCGGGATCGTCAGTATTTTCTTAAAAATCGTCATCTTAATACTCCGCAAAATTTTGTTGAGCTGCGTTACGCGACCGCGTAGACCGCCGACGTAAGGAACCTCGCAAGCCAGGTTCACTGCTATCATTCAGTGGTTGTCTAGGAATAAAATCTGCGTCAGAATCACCATCCAGCGCCGAATCCTCAGCTTGATCATCTGTAATTTCTCCTAGATATCTGGCTATTTCAGTATCGTTTAGACGTCTTCTTGACATAATTACTGTCCTGTAAAACGAAAATAAATGAGTGATAGTGAAAATAAAATTATAAATACCGATAACAAGCTAAATTTGAATGTAGAAGTCGCATTTCTGAAAATGTAAACAAAACCCTGACTTGTTAGGTTATAATGCCACATTTCACAGAATATAACATCTGTGTGCACACACAACATTCGATTACAATGGCAAATTATCATAAGTTAGACCCCTTAGACAATCTGTAGCTATATGCGATTAGAATAAGCAATCAGCAATAGCTTTATACGCTATCTTTTCCAAAAATCATCAGAAAATAAAACGCTAACAGACGCAGCAATACTACTATATTTCGATACATACCTTTATTCCAGCTTAGAGCACTTCAATATAACTTCAAACAGAAACAATAACAGCCTGACTGGTGTTCACTGCTTTGTATGATGTTTCCTACGCACGACTTTCCACTTTAGCACCACTCTGTAGACAGCACCTTGTAGGAACTACCAAGTGAGGGCGCGCGCAATTCAAATCATATAATAAGTGGGAAGATACTGTCCCACTGTGATTTAAGAGACCTGGTGGGAAAATAGTACCCCAAAGGGCGTTAAAGGGTTAAGTTGTGTCCTACGGGTTATTTATATGTTGTCGTTTCGGAGAAAGGTCTCTTTTTACGTCTCATAAAAATATTCCTGTCGGTAGCATATGTTCTCACCTGTTACTTGTAATATACTTCACCAACCATGGATTTTGTTTTCTTATCTCTCTCATTGTTTAAACTTAGCAAATTACGTTATGTCACAAAAAACCTATTAAATGTCGTTACGTAATACCCGTGCGGTTATATGCGGTTATAAAATTAGCGGACAGACAGACCGACGGAAATGAGTGACCTGATTTTTAGTGATGTACATGTCATATAAAAAACATATCTAAACTTCGAAATCGTTCGCGATTTTTGTACTTCCTCGCCAGTAAGTAAGTACATCAATTATAAACTTATGCCACTAATTCACACACAGTAAAAGGTGAAGTTCATAAACTTAAACATAATTCGAAAAAATTACATTATTAATTATGGCAATATCCTAAATCAAATAAAATAATACATTCCAATACCAAGTACATTACTGCTTGTGCCCTAAACGTCTAATACCTCCCTTCTGACCTAATTAAGATGAATGTCTTTAAATGAATGATGATTTAAGATCTTCTGGTATGTGCGTCCTTATGTCCATAAATATTACAGGTATAGTCTTTCCAGATTCGGCATGGTAGGTTGTAATAATCCGCTACTAGTCAGGCAGAAAAAAATGTAAAAAGTGGTACCCAAAAATGTCAAAATATATCATTTGTGTGAGAAAAAATACATTTTGTGTGTTTCACCTACCTCAAAATCAGTAAAAAATGGATAAACCAAGTTGAAATTAAATATACAAAAATGAAAAGAATTGATTACTCAACCTGTAAATAGCAGATATGCAGAGTGTCAAACTTCAGCTTTTTGTAGCTTCTTTTAAAAAGGCATGTCGGAATATGTAAACAAAGAGGGGACAATCAATTTAAGACAAACAACTTTGATATGTGGATCAAAAGCGGGACACCATGTATAATTGTGAGCAATTTAGAAATGTGTCTCTAGGTAGGTATAATAACCCATAGTTTGTATTGTTTCAAAGTGAAAGAACAGATCATTGCTAACAAAAAATTATCAGATCCAGCTCTGAAGTTGATCTGAGAAAATATACAATGTGTCCAAGATGAGGATGATTCAGCAGTATGGTCTCAACATTTGTTCCTCGCTTATGATTCTAAGATTATAGTGCTGTCTCTCACGTTTCTTGCATACCCTGTATTTTTTCGGATAGATCCCTATTGCTTTTTTACATGTGCTAGATGACAAAAAATGCAAAACTCGAAATAGGGATTCTCTTATCTTTATAAAAAAATGCAGTACCTTATTTCATTATTTTGCTCAATAGCATCCTTGATTTGCTGTACAACTGAACTTGCTCTAGCTGCAGCTTTGTTTGCTGTCTGTATGATTATCTCAGGACTCAAATCTGCCTTGCCTCCTAAATGCAGACCACATAATTCTTTATAAGCATTTAAACCTATTGACAGAAAAGCATCTGCAACATTTTCTTCTAGAAGTGTTGGATCAGCCAAGATATACAACCTGAAATAAGAATATAGTCTGACTTAAACACTACATATAGACAGAAATAGCTGTTGGCAGCAAATTTTCTTATTTCTCGTGGAATCCAAGCAGGTGTCTACACAGTTCAGACTGGGCTCCAATGTATCTAATTCATATTAAGATTCTAGGATACCCCTATTCCTATGTACAAATACATATCGTCGGTGATACTACAATAACGCGTAACCAACAGTGGCTCAGACAGTGTAACTGCAATAAAAATCCAAAACTGCATGGATTTGACTCGTGAGGTCAGGTGAGCGCGCCAATCAAAACGTTTCAAATGACAATATAAAACAACAATTCAGTGAGGCAAATATGTAATCATAAAGAAAATATTTAGTTTGTTTACTGTCATACAGATATGGGTTAAGCACTATTTGTTACACGATATTGCAGCATCACCAGCAATATGTAGTTCTATCATAACATATATAGTCCCGGTAGTACCTTTGCATCCGAGACCTTTCTCGCTCTGGTCAAAGTATACTCCTTGTTCCTTAAAACCCAAAATAAATAGCTTTACTAGGATCACCCCTGAGTGTCAGTCTGGTCTAGATAACTTAAAATATAATAAACTTTGAAAATTGTTTTGGTTATATAATAGAAACTCATATATGATTATTCTGGCCCAAAACTCTTAATACTGTGTGGGGCCGCTACGAATGTTGTTATTTACTGAGGATTTTTTACGGAAAATGCAAAAGATCAATTTGTAGATGTGTTGAAACAACAAGACAGGCAGGATGTCCTGGTTGTTCCTGAGCAAGTCGTCTGTACCAGTTAAGTTTTGTTGTGGAGAAGTGGATATTACTGATATTTTACCATGCACATATCCATTCAGTCCTAATTTATGGAATAGAAGCATGGGGAGCATCGTCCCAGCTGCAAAGACTTTATGTGTTGCAAAAAAAGGCTATTCGAGTAATAGCTAAAATTGGAAGGCTCACTAGCTGCAAGGATTCATTTAGAACATTAAAGATTTTAACCTTATCATCTGTATATATACTCAATATACTTATCCTTGCTAAAACACAATTGAGCAAGTTCAATTCTGTGTAAGCACTGGTGCTTACTTTACAAGAAACAGTCAAGTATTGGAGGTGCCGTCGCATAGATTGGCGAGAACGGAGGACAGCCCTAGATACATGGCTATTAAGTTTTTCAACAGACTCCCCAACAACCACAACCACTGAACACTTTTAAAAGAACAGTTAAACAGTTTTTACTGGAGAAAGCTTTTTACTCTATTGAGGAATTTTTAATGTGTGAATGTCTTGTTTGATTTTGATCATTGTTTTTTGAATGTCAATGGTTTGTCCTTTATTTCGCTTTTTTATATATACATATATGTTATATATTTATAAATTATATCTATACGTTAATTTGATTTATCTGTATTCATATTTGGAATATGTCAGATGTGGTACGAATATGTGTGCGTCCACACTAACATGATTTGTTATTAGCTTTTGTAGTGCTCTGGCTGACTTATCCTATATCACCTCTGTGATCATACAGGACAAATAAATTATTATTATTAAGGTGGTTGGTGCCATATTTTTATGTCGTTTTTCTGGGGCCGCTGATTGGATTTTTGTGATGGTCTGTAGTGGTATATGCTTTAATAATGTTATTATTAGGTTTTGTACACTTTATTCAAAAACTTACGAATTTTTTTGGTCCAACTTTTTTAATCCTATTTCTATACTTTCTCGAAAAATATCAATGCGGCCGAGTTTCGTGTCCACATTAAATTAAAGTATGTTAATGTCATGAGACATGTTGTTTAAAAAAAAAGTTTTGGGCAATATTGTCTGATAACTTTTCCACCAAACTTTTTTGTAACATCTTGGATGACTCGTGACATGTAAATAATGATATCCTGTCGATACGTGAAGAAATGTTTAAGATTGTTTAAAAAAACATATATATTTACATATAAAATGCGGTGGTAAGCGAAACATAAATGAGACATGCCAAACGTAACTTTCTAGTTGTGATTCTATCCCATCTGGGGTGAATACCAGATTCTTTTATTTTGGCGTACTTAATAATATCAATTGTTATCAATATTTACTAGTTTCTCGCATTCACCTTCTTAAATGCAACTGAATCGGTATTAGCAAAAATGTATTCATTCCAGGAAGCAGGTAGCAAATAATGAATTCCAAAATTTTTTGCCTAAAGGAAAAGGTTACTGGGGGCTTTTATTTACATCCGGTGTTTACTTGCTTGAAACCTCTTATTTTGTTTTTTCACTCCTGTGATTTGTGCTGTTTATGTGTACTTTCAGATTTAAACTTCCAAAGGCACGTGTGTGTCCGACAAGGTGCAAAAATGCAATTGCCATACAAATTGTAAGGTTTTAAAACAGATCAGAGGGGCATCGAGTATGATAAGGTAAAACAATTTGAACCCTTTCTTTTAAAACGGTAGTTATTTTTAAAATTACTGTTGAGGTCGAACTTTATGTTAGTGGTTTAGCTACCCGTATCTCATTTTTTGAAGCTGTTATTGTAGTTCAATCAATCTGACAGTATTTAATGTTTTTGAAAAGCAAGTTCTCTAGGGAAAAATTCATTAACCATAATAAAATCTACAATAATAGCAGAAAATAAATACAAAGCACAATCATTGCTGTATATTGCGTGGTTGCTACATTATGAATTACATCCTGGTCAAATTTTATTCGATTCGGTAGTATGGTTCTGAACGGAATCACAAATACTCAAAAAAAATGTTGGACCCCTATAAACGGATCACCCTTAATACATTTTGATACGTCTTTTACAAATTTGCTACTATGAATAATTACTATTTTCTTGTTTATAATTATATTTCTGAGAGTATATGTATATTATACAATGACGCTGGAAAAAATGTTTATTGTCTGAATAAATTCTAAATCTGCATATATTTGATGTTTTATTCCAAATGTCTTGATTCATGACGATACTTTAAAAATGCATCTTGTCTAATTTTAATATTTTTGGGTCTTTTTTGCGTTGCTCTAATATGATTTGAGGTTGATATATGTACATCAAAAAAGGAAAAATAGACCTTTAATTAGAATATAAAAAACAGCTGACTACGCCCAAAAGCCATCAAGATTTCCATGAACACCTGGGCGCCCGAGGAAGAGCGGGGAGTAGCAAATTTTCTCAGGGGGGGAAATCCTAAAAATTGCACTCAAAGGCATGGTAAATATGCAAACTTCATGGAACAACCGAATTCTCATGAGGGGCCACGCTGCTTTCCTATTACAATTATTTTCGGAAAGTATAGAGTTCTAATGAACAGTTGAAATTATTCATAACAAACTTCAATATTTCTTTCATAAAAAATGCACATACACAAACCGAAAAATAAGTACAGTTCTCGTGCTGATGAAATTCCAACAAACATTGTGAAGCTAACTGTGAAAGAAATTAAAGATATTTCATGTTGCATTATTAATACTACTCTAAAATGTGGAATGTTCCCTGAACAATTGAAATTGTCAGAAATGATACCATTGCTAAAAAAGGGTGATCCATTCGCCACTGATAATTATAAGCCCCTCATTATTCTGAACAGCTTCTCCAAACTATTTGAATATGCTGCTTGTATCCAAATATTCTGTTTTTATGGATAAAAATAAATTGTTTAGCAACAGTCAGCTTAGCAAGAATCAAGGATGATCTTCAATAACAGCTGTTCACCAATTTACACAAATCATTATAAGCTACTTGGAACATAAGCATTCAGCAATGGGGTTAGTTCTTCACCTTTCTAAAACACATGACTGCTTAAATCATAACACCCTATTTGAAAAATTGATCAGATATAGAATGAGGGCTATTACCTTGTCATAGATAAAATTCTATCTTACAAACAGGAAACAAACGAGTAGCGATAAAAAAGATAATATCATCAAGTCAGATTTCATTTGCAATGAGGTAGGTATACCACTAGGCAGTGTGTTATGTCCCATATTATTTGACATAATAAATAATGACAAAACTGATTTCATAATATTTAGAACAAAGCAATCACAGATTGATATACCACAAAATATCCCACATTCTGATAGTAATATCCAAGTGAGTCAGCAAACTAAAGTGTTAAGAATAAATTTAGATGAATCTATGACTTGGACTCCACACATAAATAAAACTGCTTTGAAACTCAGTAACATCAACTATGGAATAAGAGTGTTGTCTAGTTATATAAATTAAGAATGTTTAAAAATTGTACATTTTGCAAATTTTGAATCGATCCAAAAAAAGGACCATAAGAGCAATGAGAAATATGAAATTTAATGGAACATGTATTTAAGTTTAATGACAGTTTATGTACTTTACATTTTTGATTGTGTTATGTTCACAGTGAAAAATACAAATAATTTTCCCACGCAAAATGATTACACATATGGAACAAGAGGTCTGAACGTTTTACTACCTCAGCATAGACTGACAGTACCTGTAAAAACCTCTTTTTATATGTGCGCGAAGTTGTATAATAAACTACCTAATCCTTTGAAAGTGATGGAACCATACAGTATTTCTGAATACATGAATGCTCCGATTTAGTTTTTGCAGACGTTAGTTCCATATCTATGCAATTTGTACATATACTACCTTGATCAAAAAGTTACCGGAATGGTCGCCGTGTGGCGCTCGTAGCATTAGGCTGTCAATTCTGTTAGTCTTGTTATGGAGCCAAACTTTCACTGATATTCCCTCCGAATTTTAGCGTCATTTCATTATCAGTTGTCAAAGCTACGTCGAGTTGAGTACGTGTGCCTTTGAGCGTGGTCACAATTTATTAGGATTTTTACAATGGATCTGAATGAACAACAACGCGTTTGCATTGAATTTTGTGCTAAAAACAGTATCAACGTTACGCAAACCTTGGAATTGCTAGAAAAATGCTTTGAAGAAAACAGCCGTTTTCAATGGATCACAGAAGGTGGTCAGTCCATCGCCGATGATGAGCGCAGCGGCAGGCCATCGACATTGAAAACAGAAGAAAACGTTGACAAAGTGAAGAAAATGTTGGCCACCAAGCACAAATCAACTGTCAGCGATATGGCAGAGGACTTGAGTATTGCTGATGGATCTATCCAAAGCACTTTGGTCAACGATTTGCGTCTAAGTCATGTTGCAGCCAAGTTGGTGTCAAAAGAGTTGAATTTCATGCAAAAAAATGACCGTGTTGATATCGCCAAAGACATAATTTCCATGGCTGATTCTGGCCAAACATTTATCAAACGCATCATTACTGGAGACGAGACGTGTCAAGACATCAGGCGAGTGAATGGCGCGCGCCGGATGAGTCGAAACCGAAGAAACCGCGTTGTTTCCAGTCGAAAAAGATGGTAATGCCTCACGGTTTTTATGGATTACTACGGCCTAGTGAATATTGAATTCTTGCCAGAATGTCAGACTCTCAACAAGGAGTACTATTTGAGTGTTTTGAGACGTTTGCGTGAATCAATCCGCAAGCATTTGTGGGCAAACAACTCGTGGACCTTGCACCACGATAACGCACCATCGCACAATGCCATAATTATCCGTGAGTTTTTGACCAAAAACAACACGAATACGATTCAACACCCAGCCAATCCACCTGATTTGGTCCACGGTGACTTCTTCTTATTCAATCAAAACAAAAAGCCACTGAGAGGAGCCCGTTTCAGCAGCCGAGAGGCGATAATCGAAAAATCGACGATTTAGAGATACTTAACATCGAGTTTAAAAAATGTTTCGAGGACTGGATCAAGCATTGGCATAAGTGCATTGCAGTTAATGGGGACTACTTTGGAGGGGACAGTATCGATTTTGAACAATAAACTTGTATTATTTATTTTTTAATAAATTCCGGAAACTTTTTGTTCAAGGTATTATATTTGTGATTCTAGATTTGGAATAAATAATATAATTTTTAGGTTTTTCAGGACAAAAAAGTACTTTAGAACTCTTCTCTAAGTTGATAGTTTTCTAGATAAAAGTTCTTAAATATTTTTCAAATACCCATTAATAAAATCCCAAAGCATTTTAGAGGATATTGTCACTGTAAACCTTTGTTTATTGATCATTAAAAACGTGCGCTCAGTGCATAATCCGCATGAGTGCGAGAATGATGCAGCACAGGGGTGGTGGTCAGCTACATATCTCTCGCACTCACATAGAATACCTATACATTGAGCGCGCGCAAGACTAACAACTAATAAACTAATCTTTACAATAATACTACCCCCTAAAATGCTTTTGGATTATGTTAATGGATGACAGAAGAACATTTACGAATATTGACAGCAGTACAATGCTCATTTTTCACATTGTTTTTCGGGGTCGAAAATGGCATATTTTGCATTTTTTCAAGCTTCAAATCGCATTTTATCGGAAAACTATAAAGTTTAGAGGAAATTTCTGAAAAACTTTTTTGTTCAAAATGTCATAAAAACCTAAAAACACTTTGGCCTGAACAAAAAGACATTTTTTGAAATTCTTTTTTAAATTGTTTCATCAATTTTTGACGCAATTTTAAAAGGGATCTTTTTTTAATACGATTATTTATTATTACATTAACATCAGAATCAGAATATTTTTTTGAGCAGATGCAAAGATACTACTTGAACTAGTAACACATAAGGGAGACAAATGTTTTGAATTAAAAAAACTAATAATAAATATAACATTTTATGGCAAGAAATATGCAATGCTAAGACAAGTTTTTTGAAGTATCAACAATAATATGAGAAGGGGTTAGTGTAGTACCCTTTAATGAATTCCCAAATAAAATTGTGTATATTTCATTTTCAGTAAAGAACCAAGTTATCAACTTCCCTTAAAACTGATGATAAATCATCTGCACGCTAAAGTTCTATAGAACATATTTTTTCCAAAAAAAAGTTTTGAAAATTCAAATCAATTTGTATCCAACAGACTCTTATCTTTCATATACCCAATTTTTTTTATTTAACTAAAAGAATAATTGAGGTATGGATTACTCTATGATACTATATTGCATTTTCAGTCAATTTGAAAAACTTGAATTATTTTAAATGAAGAAAAAATACCTACCCACTATTAAAGACTGAATATGTGATACAAACTGGATAGTGATGTATCACCATAGGTATAGGATCCTTCTGCTTGATGCTATGTATCACAAACTCTTCACCATCACAAGTGACATCTGGCCTCCTAAAATGAGCTAATGCTGCTAAGGCTGCAATGGAAGCACAGTCTAAGATATTCCCTTCATGGTTTAGCACATTTATATCTACTCTAATAGCCCACACTTTTTCATTATTCTTTATGCACAGTGACTCTAGATCTATAGCTTTTGAATCTTTCAAACATTTCTCCAACAGTCTGTTTAGTTGCACTTGTTCATTGGATTGTCTATCTGCTTCAAAATGAGGTGCAGCTATTGGGTTCAATTCTACATTTAGGTTCAAAATTCCTTCCCCAGGTCTTGAGGATTTTGGTTGCTGGATCTCACAGGACACCTGTGCAATAACTCTGAAACAAATGTTTAATGAGAGAGACCACAAACAACATGCAAAATCTGATTTTTGATGGAATAGATTGACAGTATGGAACAGTTTTTATTTGGTCACCAGAGATGTTTACAGTGGTTCTTGGTTTGAGATTGACATGCTCCTAAACTGCTCCAGAAACAAACCATGAGAATACAATGTGTAGTGGAACAATATTAGTGATGAGCACTACTGAGTTACTCCAAGTTACTCAGAGTAACTCAAAAGGGTTACTGGAAAGCAGCTCAAATTTGATAGTTTGTTCAATGTGCATCAAACTGAAAAACCCACCCAGGAAATAAGTAAACAGAATTACAAACTTTACCACATTCATAGTCTAACTTCCCTAAGGGTAAATACACACTGCACTAGCCAATCATTAATACAGTTCCTACTTGGTCTTGCACACATACATGAATTGGTAGGTAAAGGACCAAAGTTTTCATTCACTCTGAAAATTTTCCAATAAATTTAACACAGATGATCAACATTATATTTATCTTCAGTCATTGGTGTTTTATTTTGATAACCATCAAAAGGTAAATTCAAATTGCAAGCCCATAACAAATTTGGTTTGTGTTAGGCTGTAAAGTAAGATGGATGAGGTATTAGAATGGGCAGTTCTGTGGCTCATCATCATATCAATCATTTGAAAACACAGGAAATCTATTGTACTAAAAAATGTAGCTGGACCCTAGGTTTCAGTCAATGAATCTTGCATACCCTGGGAAAATTCTCTCAAGTATCTTGGTGTCACTCTTGAATTAAGCACAATGAAGCGTTGAAAACCAAATTCCAAATTGCGTTTTGGCAGCTCTACTCTTTGTTATGTAGAGCACCAAAATTAAGTTTGGCCAACAAAATTTGCTCTAGAAAATGGTTATAATTCCAGCAAATGAGTATGTATGTGTGGCTTGGTATTTTCTGGCAAAAACACATAAGCAAGGTTCTGCAGAACAGAAGCTTGCATACAATCAGTGATGCTCCATGGTATGTCTCCATTAAGATCCTTAACAGTCATGAACATCCCTCACCTTAGGACTATTTTACAAAACAGACACAGCAACATTATCATCAAGCAGAATCACACTGCACACCTCTCTGTTGCTTAAGTAGACTATTCAGTTGAGCATGTTTGCAAGCACACCAGAGCATGCTTGCTTTGAGAACAAAATTAATTTCTGCAACTTTACGCCAAACTATATATATTTCCCATAACAACAAACTCCTAAATGAATCATTTGGTCAATTTCAAAATTCCCAAGTCCTTGGTTAACATAACTGAGACACCCTTCCAACAGACTCACTTCCCCATCTTTGTTCTTTCTCTTCCTTCCCTTCTTTCTCCCTGACTTTGTCTGGTATATAGGCAATCAGATAGACCTACGGACCAAATGACCCATGATACTTTAACCAAAACTAAAGGTCCTATGGACGGCTCTCACAGTTATACCTAAATGCATCAACAAGTTTTGCGTCTTCTAACAAAAGATTGTTTTTATTAAAAATTACACCTATATGAGGTACTTACTTTGTCTTTCCTAAAGAAACGAAACAACATCCCCAATCAGAGCCAAATTCAATTTCAACTTTGCGAAACTCATCAAATGCTCTTCCATCTAATCTCTAAAAATTCAATTCGCATTCTAATGCATAATTAAAGGAGGTGCTACAATTATACTCACATTGAATTCTGCTAGATTTTTTAGCAGAAACGTTTTTTCACAGTTTGATACAATTGTTTTACGAATGTTGGACATTTTACGCTAAAAAGAACAAGAGAACAAGCATGGATATATTTTGAAGTCTGAATTTTTTGTTAACTAATGTCATTTGTCATTTGCTAAATTTCCGTTCGACCCTGTCAACAATCAAAGCTTACTGTTGGTGTATTTTTTAATTCACCGGTTGAGCAACCGGTGCCACCGGTGAACCAGACATCTGTCCTTTTAATTCAACCGGTTGCTGCCATCACCATACAAAGCTGTCAACAGTGTCAACCATAAGCATCAGTGGTGGAATCAACCGGTGAATTAAAGAATCCACCTTGGTATCATGAATCAAATCCAAGCGAATAACCAAAATTTCTAGGTTATGTACCGCGGTTATATAATATGGTTCAAGATGACACACGGGTTGATGACGTCAGTTACTCGAATCGCTTGAACGCATTAGTTTTAACCGCGGTTTTGTTGCAAGTTGTTTATTTTAGAAAAGCGCTTATATAATTTCTGATTATTTTTATTATCACTCTATAATCGGTGCTTGTTCGTAAAGAACGGTGTATAGAAATTTTAAAAAAGAAATCTTTCATAATATTATAATGACAGAATTTTTTTTTATTTTTTTAAAGATGGAACCAAGGCTTTGTAGCTATGATAACTTCCAATTCTCTAAACTTTTCCGCATGTCAAAGAAAACATTTATTGATTTAGCAGAAATGATAGTAATGAAAAAAAGCCGTATACAGGTGGACATCATCCAGTGAGTTTATATGGCCATATTTTAATATTCTTGTGGTATATGGCTACACAGGAGACTGTAATCAAATCCAAGCGCATAACCAAAGTTTCTGTGTTATGTACCGCGGTTATAATATGGTTTAAGATGACACACGGGTTGATTACGTCAGTAACTCGAATCGCTTGAACGCGATGGTTTTAACCGCGGAGGTTGTTTATTTTAGAAAAGCGCGTATATAATTTCTGATTATTTTTATTATCACTTAATACTCGGTGCTTTTTCGTCTGCAACAGTGTATGGAAGGTTTAAAAAGAAACCTTTCATAATATTAATGGGAGAAATGTTTTTTTTTCAGACAATAATTTTTAATGAAGGATCCATTTCTTTGTAGGTATGATAACTTTCAATTCTCTAAACTTTTCCGCATGTCACCAAAAACATTTATTGATTTAGCAGAAATATCTTAGGAAAAAGCGATGAAACAATATATTAGCAAAACAGTATACAGGGTGACTTCGAAGTTGAGTCATTTATTTTAACAGTGAGTAGATCTGATCAAAAGAAATGTTTTTTCCTTTACCATTTTTCTGGTAAAATTAAAGTAACAAAGTTATAGCCCATTGGAAGTTTGAGTACCGCCCTGTCTCAATAATAATATTATGTGCTCGTGTTTGGCGACAACGGATATAATTCGCCTTATCGGTTCATCGCATCGGAAACAAAAAAGCGAAAGAATTTGGAACGATGTTTTTACAATTATTTCATTCAGTTGTATACAGTCAGTGTCAGTCGGTAGTGGATAGTGGTGTCTGTTGCGTGGCTCAAACGAAATAAAAAATGGCACATGTTTATGCGGATCGGTTTCCCAATCGAGTGCAACCAACCTCTCGTGCCGTTGTTAATGTAGTACAACGGGTTCGTGAATCATTTGACTTAAGACCTCACATATGGACGGTATGCCGGTGCTCCAAGACCTCACGATCAAATACAGGTCCGCACTGAAATACTTGTCGGGAGGATACTTTATAAAACAAGGTAATATTTTTTTTTTATTTTTACACACATATTTTGGTTTATCTTCCTTCTACAATCATTATCTGAAAATTAATGACTCAACTTCAAAGTCACCCTGTATAGGTGGACATTATTCAGTGAGTTTATATGACCATATTTTAATATTCTTGCGGTATATGGCTACACAGGATACCTTGTTAAGTATAGGAACTAGATTTAAAGTGTCACGAACAGCAGTAATGGGTATAACTAATAAGGTGCTCTAGTTTATGCTACAACTGAAGTCAGCCCGTATCAAGTTTCTCAAAAATGACGCTGAAGTACAACAAAAATATCCAATGCCCGGCGAAATTCTAACTTGTCACATTTCAAATAATAACCAGAAATATTAATCTACTACTGAGTTGGGTAAATACCACAATTTTGCGATGATAACTAGGACATATAACAGCTGATTCATGACGTCACGGATCTTACCAAACTAATAACCACACTCGCTTGAACGAATCGGTAAATACCAATCCAAAATGGTAAATACCATTTTCATTTGGTTATTCGCTTGAATTTGATTTGTGTTAAGCATAGGAACTAGATTTAAAGTGTCTCCAACAACAGTAATGATGAAAACTAATAAAGTGCTCTACTTTATGCTAAAACTGAAGTCAGCATGTATCAAGTTTCCCAAAAATGAAATGAAAAGGGTGGGTTGAGAATGGGGGTCGTTAGAAACGTGTAATCTGAACGAAACTATAATCAAATCCAAGCGAATAACCAAAATTTCCGTATTATGTACCGCAGTTATAATATGGTTCAAGATGACACAAGGGATGATGACGTCAGTTACTCGAACCGCGGTTTGTTTCAAGTTGTTTATTTTAGAAAAGGGCGAATATAATTTCTGATTATTGTTATTGTCGCTTAATAATCGGTGCTTTTTCGTCTACAACGGGGTATGGAAAGTTGAAAAAAGAAACCGTTCATAAAATTAATGGGAGGAATGTTTTTTTTTCGGAAATAAATGTTTACCGATGGAACTATGGCTTTGTAGCTATGATAACTTTCAAGTCTCTAAGCTTTTCCGCATGTCAAAGAAATTTTTTATTGATTTAGCAGAAATGATGAAAAAGCGATGAAAAAAGATATTAACAAAACCGTATACAGGTGGACATCATCCAGTGAGTTTATATGGCCATATTTTAATATTCTTGTGGTATATGGCTATATATGATACTTTGTTGAGCGTAGGAACTAGATTTAAAGTGTCCCCAACAACAGTAATGATTATAACTAATAAGGTGCTCTACTTTATGCTAAAACTGAAGTCAGCATGTATCAAGTTTCCCAAAACTGAAGCTGAAGTACGATAAAAATATCCAATACCCGGTAAAATTCTAACTTGTCACATTTCAAATAATAACCAGAAATATAAAACTACTCCTGAGATGGGTAAATATCGTTGAGCCACAATTTTGCGGTGATAACTATGACATCCAACAGCTGATTGATGACGTCACAGATCTTATAACGAAACTGATAACCACACACTCCCTTGAATGGATCGGTAAATACCAATCCAAAATGGTAAATACCATTTTTCACTTGGTTACCGGCTTGAATTTGATTTAACATAAATATATTCGAATCCTTGTAGCACCAATCATTAACAAACAAAACTACACACACCCTCCTACCCTGTGCCACCTCTGTTCCAGGCAACGTCAAATCCTTGAGGAGTGGGGGGAAGAGCAATCTGCTCCTCCCTCCTCTCGCACCCGAAGGCCTGGCGTGGCGCTGCGTGGTTCAGGCCGCTGCGCATTCCCCGAGTGTGTGCTGCAGAGCGAGCTACCCCCTCCCCAATTTTGCCCCTTTTTCCCGAAATTGACGCGATCGCGCACGCGTTGCGGAAGCACGTAGTGGACGTTTCATCCAACTGTCGGTTCTCGACTTTAATGGGCGGCCTCTTTCTTGGGGGTCCTGCGCTGGAGGCTTTGACCTAAGCCCCGCATTAAGGTTACAAACGAAACTAAAACGATGAGTTTTTATATATAGGGTTCTGATCAGTGGCGCTTGCCCCCTCTGTTTTCCGCAGTTTGCATTAAAATTATAAACAAATGTTGTTAATTATGCTAATTTAAAAAATATGTACCTATTCGTTATTTAGTCTGTAAAACATATAGTTCCCAAGTGTGTATAAACTTTTATTCTGTAAAATACCACAATATAATAAGAGCTGTAAGTAAATACATGACATTCGAAAAATGATGTGGATTCATAGGTTCCTATATATTCTGTTACGTCCCACACGAAATACCGTCATCAGAGTATACCTAAGTGTATTTACACCCAAGATAGAATGGATGCGAGATTGCCAAAAGCAAAGGACGCCGTACAGGGCCGCATTCAGGGCTACCTCCGAATGATGGACCAGCACCAACGTGTTGTAAAACAAAGATGACAGTATTTAACGAAATTATCTAATATATTGAAGTAGTTATAGTAAAGGGTGTCGCTAAATCAAATTTTTATTCTTGAAGGGGTGCTAAGTTTTTCTACAGATTTTTCAAACTAGACAACATGGAGAAATACATACCAGAGGTAACCAGCTGCTCACTATGCACAATGAATCACTAGTCAACGAGAGGTAGAGATGACACTTTTGCACATGGAATAAATATAAGGGTGTTCAACCAATTGAAAATAGATTTTGAAGGTGCACTTCAGACTTGCATTGTCTGTAGTTTATTTGTAAGTTAATATTTCACTATAACTAGGATTCCCATAATATGTATTCTGTGACAAAACAAAAACGCGAAACTTATTCAGACTTACTTGAAGAGCTATCGTCGTTAATGTTTATGATGATGGATTCAAAATCTCTCTCAATTATGTTGTCCAGCTCGCACATTGCTACCTCCACTTTCTCCTGAACATGCTGCACACATTTTTGCCATCTTTCTGGTGTGACCCTCTGTATAGCAATTCTGAACAGCTTCTGCATGTCAGAAAATTTAAATGTTGTATTGTGTGCAGCAACAAAATTCTTAACATCTGCCTATATGAGCTCAATGGGGTTGAGCTCACACTGGTAAGGCGGCAAACGGAGTACTGTTTTGTGGTGTGCTTTGGCCATTTCATCTATGACATATTATTTATCATGTCTTCGTCTGTGTTGTTTCACAATATCTAATAGTTGTAATTTCAGTAAGGAAGGGTCGAAAGTTATATTTTTGGAACGGAGCCAGCTCTGAATGTCTGATTTCCTAGAAGCTGAAGTTGGGATTTTTTCTATTTTGCGAGAATGATAGGGAGCATTATCCAAAACAACCACAGAATTGTCTTCGAGACGTGGTAAAATGCCTGAAAACCACTTCACGAATGCTTCCCCATTCATCTCTTCATGGTAGTCAGTGATTTTTTTTGACACAAAAGACCATAAGCCGTCATCCACGAAGCTATATACAC